CTTCTAGGGTTAAAGACCTAGGAACAAAATTAAAAGCTTTCCGGGTTAGGTGGGGCACCTTGACACCTGATGGACCGCCCATCCCCCTATACTCCAGAGAAACCTCAAATTCCAGAATGGGGGAGGGGTGGGAAAGCCAAGAATGTCAAGGCCCGTTTGTGTTTGTACTACTTCCATTTGTATTAGTCCTACAAAACAGCAAAATAAATAAATACATGTAAAGAAAACCCCACCAGAACAAAAAAACAAACAACAAACAACAACGCCGTGGCAAATTATCTGAGAGGAAAGACAATCTGCGATTACTGGGGTGGGAAGAAGGGGGTGATATTTACATGGAACTTTTGAGCCTAAGAAACAGGAAAACGGGGCGAGGGAGTCAGAGAAACCCTCCAAGAGACACTGTGTAAGTCTGTAAAACAGAAACACACTCACTCACCCTGCTACACAGAGCTGAAGGGATCGGGACTGAGATCTGGCCAGGAGCTGGGGAAGGCAGCGAGTCTTGCCTGGGTGTGGGACTTGGGCCCTGATTAAATTCTTGATTGAAGACCATTAGATTCGCTCCCCAAGACCCAAGGGAGGCCGGAGGGAGGGGGGGGCGTCAAGTTATAGACCAAGGGAAACTCCCATCTCCCTGCTGCTTGGATGGAAAGTTTCCAAAAATCCTCAGAATCAGACTGGGAGGGAGGGGTAGAGTCGGGGAGGGCCCCTAACGAGAAAGGGAGAACAGGAGAGTTAATTCTCCAATGGGTTACTGGGAAGAGTCCGCTGGGATCCTAACGGCCTCTCCAGAAAATAAAGGGGTGGGAGGCTGGAGGGGGAGGCCGGTGTTGAGGGACTGAGGCCCGGGAGGGAAGGCTTTGGAGAGTTCTCCACCTGGGCGCCCCGGCTCTTCAGCTCCTCTAGCATGCGGCAGTCCCCTAGAGCAAGGGATGGGGCTCCAGCTCTGACGGCCGGTGTCCTTGGGTCTCTGTTCCCCATCACCCTGCCAGAGTCTGCCTGGGCCCCCTGCCTCTGCCTGATTCCTGTTTCTTTCTCAGTCTTTTGGGCGACAGGGGCACGGTAACAGCGTCCTCCTCCTGTCCCCAACTGCACCTCTCCATCCAGTGGGCGCCCAGAGCCCCTCGCCCCCAAAACATTCCCTCCCCCTCTGCTCTGCCTCACCGCCTCGCTCCCCTCCCCCTTTCCCCTGGCCTAGATGCCTTGCCCTCTAAGGACCCGCTTTCCACCCTGCTTTGGAATCCCTGGCCTCTTCAGAGAACCTGCGTTCCTACGTTGTCATTTTCTTGGTTGAGCCCCCAGTGAAGCACGGGGAGGTGAACACTACGTGTCCTCCACACGCAGGTGTGGAGGACACGTCCTGCCTCCGTGTCCAACGCCTCTGCTGTTCCTTCCTAGAAACCTGAAGGGAGTCTCAGCCTGAGATTGGCCCCAGGGCACCATGCCCATTGGGTCCTGAGGGCTCCATCGCCCAGAGGCCACTCTCTCCTCGGGCCAGGGGACTTTCCTGGCCAGCCTAGTAAAGACATTGCCTCCACTCCCATGCCCATTTATACTCCATTCACAGCAGGAGCCTCTAGGCCTCCAGGGCCTAGCTTGACCTCAGGCCAACACTAGGGATGCCAGGAAAGACCCCGATAGTTAGAGGGAGGGGGAGGCATGAAACCACACTGGCCCCAGACAGACTAAGACCCCAGACTGTGGAGACCCGGACAGCTGCCCACCCAGGCCTGGTGATGAAGAGAGAGAATGTTTCGGGACTCCCTGGGCTCCACCCGCCAACTTTAAGATGCTTCCGCCATTTCAGTTCACAGCCTGTGGGCTCAATAGTCCCAAAGGCCTCCTTCCCTGTCTCCCTCCCCAGCTGCCTGCCCCGCCTGGACTCTGGGCCACTGGCCAAGGGCTGAACTGGCCCCTCCCCAGAACAAGGGCCCCAGAGGCCCTTTGCACTTGCGCCTACAGTTTACACACTCCTAACAAACACCAAACATCCCTGTGTCTGCCGCTGTCTTTCTTCTCAACTGAGAAGGGAGAGGGGGTCAGGGGGACCTGGCAAAGCTCTAAAGGACCCAGGTCTCTCTTTACCCCAGTCGACTTGCAGCTGGAGGGACTGAGGGGCTGGGGGTGGGGAGGGCTGGTCTGGGGAGACAAGCTCCCCCATCCTCCTACCTCCCAGCGGCTTCTCTTCTTCTCCCACCCCGGCCTGGGGAGGCCTGGGGAGGCCTTCTTCCCCTCCCTTCATGAGTGGGAACTGCCTCCTCTTTGGCGGGGTGGGGGGGATTAGGTAAATGGGAGAAAGGGTCAGAGAGAGAGAAAATTAACTTACAGCGTTCGTCTGGGATTCATTTGCGAAGATGTAACCTCTCTCACCATCATCCCCAGCGCCGTAATCCCCTCTAACTGCCAGGCCCTCTGTCCTAGCATTAAACCTCACCAGCAGCTGCGTGGCTGGACAGTTAAGATTATATATGATGTAAATATATTGTGGGTTTGTCAGCTCTCCCTACACCATAAAACTTGGTTTAATGACATCACGTGGTCCCCCAAGAGCCACTCATGGGCTTGCCTTCGGGCCATTCACATAAATAACCTCCAAAAGTTTCAAACTCCTAAATTCACATAGAAGCAGTGCGTGTTTCTCTAATGCTCAGTTACACTAAAAAGCCCTCGTGCTGCTCCCTGGCCTCACCCCATACCCCCCTTGCAGGGTGGGGAGAGGGCAGAGGATGGATCTTTATTTATTTACTTACTTACTTCCATAAGGACCTGTCGCCTTCGAGGTCGTGTTGATATTTTTTTTTCCTCCTATTTTTTTTCTCCTCTCTCCTCTAATTGCTCAGAGTGGGCCGTGTCCCCCTCTTCCCACTCCCCCGGGAAGGTAAGTCCTGCTTCTTCCCCTTCTTCCTCACTGCCAGAGGGGGTGGGTTCCAGGGCAAAGTGGAGAAGCAGGCTCCATGGTCTCTGTTTGGGACCCAGAAGCCCCTCCACTAACTCCCCAAGAGCGATGCCAAACCCTGGTACTTGAAGATTGTTCCAGGAGGCCGGCTGGTGAAGCAGAAGCCTCTGTTCAGGGAGAAAGCAAGAGTCTGGGCCGCACCCACTCGCAGTGCAAGGGAACGTGTCCGAGGCCTCTGTCTAGGTTGTGGGCGCTGATGCCGCCGAAGCAGAGGCTGGGCCCTGAGCACAGGTCTGCGGACCATGACACAGGGTGGAAAACTGGCAGGCACGGCTGTGTCTACCCAAGTCTGGCCGACCGGAGTCACTACTCCAGCTCCTCCAGGGAAAGAGGAGACCCAAACCCTGCGGGGAGGAGGCGTCAGTGCACAGTGGGGCTGGTGTAACCTGCCCAGCGGGTCTGAGCCACACTGTCCCCACCCCTGGCCAGGGGCGATGCATCCCCTCACCCCACCCCACTTCAACCCCAGGGAAGAAGCGTAGGACCTCGGCAGTCAGGGAGGCTGGGGTGGGTGATGGTGGGCACCACGACCTCTTTCTTAGTTAACTGTGACCCACTGGACACACCAATGCTTCTCCACGCTTCACTGCTCGCCCAATAGTTTTACTCAGCATGGAGAAAAAATTAAACTAACTCCCTGAAGAAAATTACACATTTTTTTTGAGAGAAAGGAGACAGATGAGCTGGAGTAGGGCTGGGCTGACTGCTGAGCGCTAGTGGAGGAGAGACATTACAGGCTCCCTCACCTGGCCTGAGTGCAGTGAGAAGGGGAAGGGTGGAGCCATGGGTGCAGTTCAAGAAACATGTGTGGAGACCTCCTACGTGCTAAGCATGGGGTGAGGCAAGGCTCTTGGGTCTTTCAGAAAAAAAAATGACAGACTGGCAGCTTAGGCAGTGGGATGCAGAGGAGTCAGTCCTTATAATAAATCCAAGGAACATCAACGTTAATAATCATAAATATTCTCCTTGCCCCTCCCCAAAGCCGCTCTGCTCCCTTTCCCTCTTGGCTGCTGGAATAGACTTCTAGCCCAGATCCTGAACTGGCCCCCACCCCCAGTGTGGGGGGCCTAGGCTTGGCTCCAGGAAATCACCCCGTCGTGGGAGGCGGGAGAGGAAATGCAGTAAAGTTTTATGAACCCTTCCCGCATTTGTTTCTCCTATAAAGTACTTCCTCCCCCATCCCATCCCAGGAGCCTGGGGCGGAGCAGATCTTTGGCCTAGGCCAGCCTCAGGCACCACCTGAATTATCTCCTTTTCCCCTTCCCTTTAGCTCCCCCTCCCCCTCCACACAAAATCCCAGAGACTGAGATAAATGATGGCAAACAGACCCAACTCAGGCACTGGTCTATGCAGCTCCTTTCCCAGCTAATTGCCCTGCATAGCCCTAGGCCCTAGGAGGTGGGGAAGACAGTCTGAACATTTCCCGCCTGGGAGGTACAAACTGCAGGTTGCCCCACTGCTTCCCCACCGCCTTAGAAAGCTCACACACCTCCTCCCACGGCGCCCCTCTGCTGAGCAGTACCAACTCTTTCTGAGCATCCTTTGGGGACCAAATAGGCCCCTAGGCTGAGGGCTCAGCCCTTCCTCTATGTCCAGCGAGGCCCGGGGACCACCACGTAGCCCTGAGAGAGCTCTGCACGGGCCCAGAAGGGCCTGAGTCTGAGCACCATGGAGCCATGGGTCCCTGGTCCCTGCAGATTAGCTCTGGCATGCTGTGGGGCCGCTGCCAGTCTAGAGGCCTCATATCCACCCAGCCAAAGTGGGAGTGGGTGCGGAGGCCTGAATGCTTGGGGCAGCCACAGCATGGGAAAAGCCAGTACAGACGGCTTGGGTGCCCTCCCCTTCCCCGAGAGGTCCTTCTTGGAGCCAGGATTGGGAAAAACGCTCAGTTCGACCTTCCTCTTCTCAATACTCCTAGAGCCTCCTAAAAATTCTTTTAAAGGAGAGGCTTAAAGGCTGTGGGCCTCCCCCAACACCCCATAGCCCATTTAGACAATTTTCCCCAATACATGCCCCCCAAACAGAGAGGAGCCGCTGCATCTTTAGTCCTGTTCTCTCTTTGTCTTTATTTGATATGACAAAATATAGTTTCAGGAAAGACCTGGAGTCAATAAATAGTTGGACAACAGCGATGAGAAGAAGGACACCGAACGTCGTGGCAGGGACTACTGGGGCAGCCAGGAGCCTCTAGGACCTTTGCTGGGGTCCAGTAGCAGGGAACCCCAATAGCTGAGCTAGCTAGCGGTCTGAGGCTGGGGGCCTGAGAGGGCATGCAGAGAGCGCAGGCTGGACAAGTTCCCGGGCTTTGGGGTGGGGGGCGCAGGTTGGGAGAGCATAGGGCAACCAAGGGGGCCCTAAGCAGACAGTCATCTTCCCCCTTTCATATGCAAATCATTTAAAAAATGAACATCGAGTTTAGCGGCTACAAGGAAGCACCCCAAGTCTGGTGCCGGACTCCGCCAGGCACAACCGTCCTCTTACCGAGCCCGCAGCCGGGAACAAAGGAGAGGGCGAGGCCGGAGGGTCCCGGCGGGGGGCCTGAGGCGCCCGCAGGGCCCACCTGAACCCCGGCGGCCACGCTGGGGCAGGAATCCTGAGAGGCAGCCCGGGCCGGGTTCGCTCAGCACCGGCCCCTATGCCACAGCCCTCTGGGGATCCTGCGGAGAGCCTGCCCCGGGACCTCGGTGCTGAGCAGAACCGAGGGGAGTCCGGGCAGCGCGGGCAGCCACGCGGGAACCTGGGGTCGGTGGGGATGCGGAATGCCAAGGGAAAGAGCTTCTGTCTGTGAGGCCGGGGAGCCGATGCTCCCAGCCCCCGCCCTATACCGAGAGAGGAAAACCGAAAAGGAAAGGCGCAGGGACCGAAGCGGGCTCGGGTGCTCTCGGCGGGCCTCTCCGCTGCCTCTAGAGAGCCTCTTTGCTTTTCATTTTGGAATCTTTCTTCCACTTCATCCTGCGGTTCTGGAACCAGATCTTGATCTGTCTCTCGTTGAGACACAAGTTGTTGGCGATCTCTATGCGCCTGCGACGAGTGAGGTAGCGGTTAAAGTGGAATTCTTTTTCCAGTTCCAGAGTCTGGTAGCGCGTGTAACTGGTTCGGGACCGCTTGCCGTCAGTCTCTGGAATATAAACCCCCAAGCCAGGAAGGGGTGAATAGCGTGCAGCGCCCCAGCTTCCCCATCCCAGCCCCAGGCCCCCACCAGCGGCCGGAGGGAGAAGACGCGAGCGGGGCAGGACAGGCCCGGCGGGCCGCAGGCGGGCCCGGCCCAGCCCAGCCTGGCCCCGGGAGAGGCGCCTCCGCCCAGGCAGGAAACTTTCCGCCGTAGCCTTCACTTAGCAGCCGGAGGGGCTGAGGGGGTGGGGGGGAGAGGGAGACCCAGGCTCGGACCGAACAATAAGCACCCTCGAGATCCGAGCACCGGGGACCCCCCTCCCGCCCCTCCCAAGTCGCTGGAATCTTCCGGAGCGGCAAGCGGCGGCCGAGCCGGCTCCGCAGGGAGGGAGGAGGGACCGCGGGGGGATCCCCGCTCTTGGAGCCCCGCGCTCCTCACCCTTCAGATCCCTCTATTTTTTTAACTCCCTCCCTCTCCCCCCAAAATTGAATATTGCCTTTTATACACGTTTTGTTCCTATGATCCAATTATGTCGTCGTAAATTTGGGCGCACACAGCCTCTAAGCCTTTTAGTGGACAGTTTTACGAGCCATTGATGCCTGGATCGTAAAATTTATGGCCGCAGGTTTTTTTTCTTTATTTGCCCCGCATGGCCTATAAAACCCAGGCGGACCCGAGCGCGCAAAATGAAGTCCTAAAGTTTACCGTGGCTCATGTGCAGTTTGGTCATCCACGGGTAAATCTGTGGCGGGGCCGGTGGCTGGCTCAGTCCGGCGGGCTGCCCTGTCTGCGCCTGCTCCTCTTTGATCTCCCCACTGCTCTTAGCTCGCTCCTCCAGCGCTGGGCGAGCCGCCTTCTGACTGTACATCCCGGGGTTCAGAGGAGCCGCTTCATCTCTGCCCAGAGCGTGTCCCGGAGCGGCCGCGGCGCTGCAGGCGGGGCGGTCGGGGTGAGCCCGGGGGTTGGCAGCCATGTCTACCCCGTGGAGAGAGTTGGAAGGCGCAGGCGGTGGGAAAGTGATGCTTAAGTCCAATCCGCCGTAGCAGTACCTGGATGCCTGCACCTCTGAGGCCGATCCATAGTTCCCACAAGTTTGCATGTTATAGGCAGGGATATTGGGGCTCTGCTTATAGAATGAATTGGCTACGTAGGAGCTCATGGCGGGGAGGGCCCAAAAAAAAATTCTGCACCCTTTTTGATTAAGGGTGATTTGTGACTCTTTGAAGTTGAGGGGTTTTTTGTTCTCCAAAGTGCACAATTTATAGGTGGAGATATCTCTTTCTTTATCCTATGCGCTCTTCCCAAATAAGGGAGCCTTAAATAGAGTCACGTGACTCGAGCGGCCACTCATAAATTTGGCTTGATGACCTCCGGGAGGTTAGTGATGGAAGCCGGCGAAACGCATCTTGATATGTTGGCAAAGCCCAACCAAGGGGGAGAGGGAGTGAGGGAGAGAGAGAAAGAGAGAGAAGGGGGAGAAAAAAAAAAAGGTTCTTGGAATTGGGGGGTAGGCGGGACAACGAGCCCACAGCGACACCTGGTGCCTCCTTGGAGGAATTGCAGCCTGGCTCGCTGGCTGGCCTTCAGGACTCTGGATTTTCCACGCTGTAGAGGAGAAGCTGGGTGTTGCTGCAACAAACCACTGAAATGGCCTTTTAAATTGTATTTCATTTTAAGGGGAGATGAGGCTTCACTAGGATGCACAGAGGGTTTGTTCTGTTTTTTGGTTTTTTGTTTTCTGTTTTTTCGGGGTTTTCTTGGGTAACGGATGGCCCCATCCTCCCCAACCCCGGGGCCTTTCAATGTTCAAAAATGGCTGAGGGAAGGGGATTGAGGTAGGAGAGCCCCTACCCAGGCCGGAGGGGGCTTATCTCAGGTTCTCTAAACCAAGGGTCGAGGTCCCTTTCCTTTGAGGCCCCAGAGCCCTGATACTGCTGAGGAGGTGCCTGTCAGCCTGAGAAAGTGAACCCAGCCTCTGCAGAGGTAGGCAGGATGCCCAGGAGTAGGGGTCCCGAGTGGGCAGAACTAGATAGGGGGCTCATGGGACTGAGAGTGCTGGGGACTCTGGGATGAGCCTGGAGGTGAGGAGCCAGGGGAAGATGAGTAGGCCTCCTCACCATGCCAGGGACCCCAGAGTAGCAACAAGGCAATTTTCAATTGTGTGACTGGGTGGATGGCTAGCTGGGTGGGTAAAGAACCAGACACAATGAACTGGAGGACTGCTCTGCATCCCTGGGTATGACCCTGGTGTGGTACCCATGCCAGGTATTTTGGATGGAAAATAGATGTTAATTGAGGGCATGGAGAAGCAAGATTCAAGCTTCCACAAATATTATATGAGCAGGGCAGAGGAAAAGGCCTGTTTTGTGCCCTTTGGAGGAAAGGCCTCTGGACCAGGCTTTCCAGGGACTTGGGTTCAGAAGGTCCACAGGAGAGCAATTTCTGAGCTATCTGGAGGTGTCCAAAAGGATCTAGCTGGGGGTGGGGGGATGGGGGTAGGCAGGGCAGGCGCCTGGGCCACCTTCACAGCCTGTGACCAGGGGCTCCGCAGCCATTCGGCCCCTTTACATCCCCCCCTCCCCTAGCCCCAAGTCTTATTCTTTCCTGCCTGTCTCTCCCCGGGAAATATCCGCCCCGGCCAGGAGAAGCCCCCCTCCCGCCCCCGCTGGCAGAGGCGCTGGAAGGGGCGCTGGCGGGGGATCTGGAAGGTCTGGAAAACTGGCGGACTTTTTCCCTCTGGGAGACCCCCTCACTACCTCACCCCCTAGGTCCACTCAGGTTTCTCTGGCTGGGCTTAGGAGAGAAGGCCTGAGCTGGGGAAGGGCTAGGGTCTGGCTGCGCTCCTCACCGGCCTAGTTTGAGGGGAGAAGAAAGAGTAAGGAACCAGACTGGGGCTGGCGCTGTAAGGAGGAAGGAATTTGGTCCCGGCCACGTCAGGAGTCCCAGAGCAGGGGAGAGCTCAGTTTCCAGGCTTTCTTTTCCGAGATGTCCTTGAATCGCTCAATCTCTGCCGAAGGGCTCGGGTCCCGCGGTCTCCTCTTTCCCTCGGTTCTCCGCCTCCGCCACGTTTCGCAAGAGTCGGCCTGGCGCGGGCCGGGGGCTGCCCTGCTGGCTTCCGGCGGCGCCTCCCTCCTCGCTCCGGGGAGTGGGCGGGGGTGACCTGGGGCCTGGATAATGCGTCCTTTCTGGCCTTTGGGGCCCGGGGTTCAGAAGCCGAGGACCCCAGACTACCAAAGGCAGGAAGAAAGGCCTGTGTGGGGCCGGAGACCACTCCGACCAACCCGGGCTCCCACTCTACCCCCAGCGAAACCCCGTGCGGCCCTTTTTGCGGGGCGAGGGCGTTGCTCTATGTGGGGAACCCGGAGAGGCCTCCCAGCCACCAGCGCGATCCCCGGGAGAACCGGGAGGCAGGGCTGAGCGCCGGGCCGGGCGAGGCGCGTGCAGGGGGCCGGGGGCTCGCAGACGGCGGGCGGACGCGAGAGCGCAGGGAGCCTGCTCCAAGTTTCACCCCGAGGCCGGAGGGCGGGCGAAGTAACAGAAATCCCGATATAAACTTTTAAAAATAATATCAGTTTTATTAAATATTCGAGAACGGATCCAGAGGTCGGATTTATACAGGAGGGTAACACGACGGGATTTTTAAAATTTATTATTTTTCTCCTACCGGCTAAACAAACGTCATTCACTATTTTTTCTCTCTTTTTGTACTTTTCCCTCTTTTTTTTTTTTCCTTTTTAAGATGGGATTGGAACACGGACGGTGCTAAACATAAATATAAATACAGAGACCACAAATACAGCTAAAAATATTCACACAGAAATGGTCACAGTTTGTAATATGCCATAATGATCCCCAGGCTTCTTTAAATACAATTCGCCTGGGCTGGGCATTTGCTGGGGCAGAGGGGCCGGGCGGGGGCTGCGGGCAGGCCCTGGGGGTTGCTGTGGGATCACCACGCGCCCTACTTGGGCCTCCCGCCCTCCCCGGCTGCCACGCCGGGCCCTGAGGCCTGGGAGCGGAGGCCCCCGGGCCCGGGAGCCGGCTCTCTGCGCGGGGGCGGGGGTGGGGGGCGCCGAGAGGGTGGGAGGCCAAGTCATCGTTTGGAGGGAGATCTGTGGAGTCTGAAGCGAGGTTCAGGCACGAGCCCCAAGGCCTGGGCGAGGGAAGGGGCCTGCAGACGAGCCGAGAACGAGCTAGCGAGGGAGCAGGAGAGGAGGAGGCGCCTTGTGAGTCTGTGCGGTGAGGGAGGGGGTCCAGAGCTGACTTTTCAGGTCCATATTTGACTCCCTAATTTTGTCTCAGGAAGTCCAAACATCAATTGTGCCAGTGATAAATACAGAGTGTGTTATTAGGAGGGAGTTGCGGGGAGCGAGGGAGCAGGAGAGAGGGGGGTGGCAGGGACAGTCCTGGTCACTCTTTCTGCTTCTCCTCTTCTGTCTCTTCCCGCTTTTCCTCTTTTCCGCCCAGGCTGTCGACCGCGGCCCCTCCGCCGCCCCCTGAGAGCGTGGACGTGAGATTAGACTCTTTTTTCCACTTCATCCGGCGGTTCTGGAACCAGATTTTGATCTGTCGCTCGGTCAGGCAGAGCGCGTTGGCGATCTCGATGCGCCGGCGCCGCGTTAGGTAGCGGTTGAAGTGAAATTCCTTCTCCAGTTCCAGGGTCTGGTACCGCGAGTAGATCTGGCGACCGCGCCTCCGGTCCGCTCCATAGCCGACCCCTAGAGATCCGGGCACAAAACACACTAAAAACAATCAGCAAGGCATCCTCCGCAGACGATTTAGCCTAGCACAGCCCTGACCCTCCCAACTTGGCCAGCAACTCACGGGCCCCCTCCAGCCTTCTCCTCTCTGCCCTGTCTCCACCCCCACTGGGGGTACTACAGCCAGGATCCCAACTTCATTCAGTCCCCCCCCCACGCCAGGTTGGTAGGTGGGTCCCAAAGAAAGGTGGGGGTAGGGTGGGGGACAGAACCAGGCAGAAAGCTGCAAGTCTAAAAGCTGATTTTTGAAAAATCCCAAACATGGGGGATGGGGCCCCATTTCTGAACGACTGGGTTCCCCCATCTCCCCAGGCGCCCTAGCTGCTTGGAAACTTCTCCCCACTTCTCTGTCCCCTCCTCTCCCCCTCCCTTCTCCTCAGCCTGACTCGACTTTGGGGGGTCCCCCACCCCCTCCCCTCATCCCCTGCCCTGTTCCTGCCCCCTCAGCTCGCCTTGGAGCCCTCCAATCCGTCAGGGGCCGAGGGGGCCAGGCCCCTGCGAGCAAGCGGGAGGCGAGCAGAGGGGGCAGAAGAGGGGGCCCTGTCTCGGCGTCGGCGAGGAGACGAGCGTGATTGTTTTTATGGGGCCATAAAAAACTCTCTCCGCCCGTTCTTCTAGGGAAGCCGGTCATAAAGCCAGTTCAGTTTATTTAATTTATATCTCGGAGCTGTAAAACTCACCACTGTGCGAATTCATTCGCTGCATCCAGGGGTAAATCTGGATACTGGCTTTCTGGTCCTGGGGCGCAGTCCTGCCCTGCTCAGAACTAAAATCCTGAGCGATTGAGGTCTGTGTGTTATGTCCTAAGGTGTTTTGTCTGCAGTTTGAGAGCATGTCTTTCTCCTGGTAAAAGGAATTAGATCCATAGTCATACGGCCCTCGGCTGGAACTGAACACGACATTCTCCTGTGGCGAATAAAAGGGAGTCGAGTAGATCCGGTTCTGGGCAACGGCCGCTCCATAGGTCGAGAAATGCCTCACTGGATCATAGGCGGTGGAATTGAGGGCGACGTTGGGGAGGACGTCCTGGCCCCCGGCGAGGTGGCAGGATAAGGAAGGGTTAGTGAAGTAGGAATTCATCCCTTTGCCTTTACCTGGTCGGGCTATGATTTCTTTAATATTTATTTCTGTCTCCAGTTTGTACTCGGAACTAGATGGTTATAGGGACGGCTCCAATCCAGGACAGACAAAATGACAAAGTCAGCTGACCCCCTCCCAGCCAATCGCAAGCCAGATGTCAAGAAGGGGGAAAAAAATCGCTTCTGCTTCTGTTGATTCCCTGGTTGAGACTAAGTGTGTGCTTTGAAAGTAAGACTTGGATTTCTTTTAAAAATATATACGTAAGGGAACTGATTTGAGGGTGAAGGAAGGGTGAATGTCCCCGAGCAGGGCCTTGGGGCCCAGAAAAGGAGAGCTGCACTCCCAGGAAATCTCTCAGCTCCAGCTAACTTTGCTGTGCTGTAGCCACAGCCAGGGCTGGAGAAATCCCTGTATTTTCAATCTGATTTCATCTTTTATATCTGCCCCCTTCTAAAATTACATCTTGATTTCTCCATGGGAGGAACTTCCTCCCAGCTCAGGGAGATCCCCAGAAATCCTACAGGAAATCCTGGCTTGATACTCCATGGAGCGAGTCTGCATCATTAAACCAGTATACTTTTCCGAATAATTTTTTTAAAAAAATCAAAAGTGGAAAGAAATTGCATAAAACGTGGTGCTCAGAGGGAGGAGAGTCTGGGGTGGAGGGAGCATGTGGGGAGCCCCTAAGTCTAAAGAGGGAAAGAGTGAGACATCAGGGTGCAGTGGCAGAGCTGAGGTGTGCAAAGCAGCCATGCATCTGCTTCCTCTTCCTCCTAGCCCCCCCCCCGCCCCGTCTACCTCCTCCTCAGGACCCCTTTTGGGGGAAACTCATAAAGCATTTTTGCCTAAAAGGGAAGATTTATTTTAAAAATAAATAGGAAAGGAAGAGAAAAAGTAAAAGGTGGGAGAGAGAGAAAAAAAGGAAGAAGAAAGAACTCTGAGAGTCTTTCTAGACACATCAACTCCTGTTTATGTTGGTGAGAATTTATGATTTAGAGCCAGCCAGGGCCGTTGGGGTAATTCACATAGGATCCAGCCAGAAGGAGAAGGCCGGCGGGGTTCTGATGGATACTGAGTGTCTTGCAGGCTCAAAGCCCCTGCCCAGGTCAGAAGCCCCTGCCCCCTCGGACTCTCTGTCCTGCCAAGGGAGGTGCCCCTGGACCTGAGCTCTGGGGCTTGGAGATTCTAGCCAAGGTTTCCCGGGGTGCTCTCACCCAAGGGCCGGCCACACCTAGTGGGGCCGGGCCTCTCAGCAGCCCCCTGCCTCCATTTTCTTCCCACCTGGGGGCTGAGAATAAGGAAGAGGTTAGGAAAAGGCGGCTGTGTCCGAGGCTTCTGAGGGCGCCGCAGTGGGCAAACAGAAACAGCGGAAGGTGTGCAGATGTTCTTTTTTTTTTTCCCCCTGATTAATCCAAACTTATGTTGATATCGTAACATAGGCTGAAAATGCTTTGAGTTGAGAAAGAGGGGGTCAGTGGGGCAAGCGAGCGGAGCAGTGGAAGCTCATATTTTCGCCTCACCATTTTTTGGTGGTGGTGGGGGAAACTGGCTATAACAAGAACCCGGATGTCTCCGGATTTTATGATCTTTTCCTTCTGTGTAACAAAGCGGAGTAATCAATGGGTAGCAATAAAGCCATAAACGGGACTACGCTGGGAAAAAAACTCGTTTATTCATCTGCTGTAACGTTAAGGTTTCCCTGGAGTGTCGCTAGGGGGGAAAAATAAAGTTTCGAACCCAAAAGCAGACTGTGTAGGAGCTGATGGAGACAACATGTTAGTTAATACGTGAACCTCGTTACGGGATGGAAGAGTCTTCCTGCGAGACAATTTGTGTTGGCTTTTAAAAATACAGCCCCAGTCCTTCAGAAAGGAGGGAAATGTGTTGGTATTTAGGAGGGCAGGGGGAAGGCCCCTATAGTTATTAAGGTTCCCCCTCTTGGACCATACTTTCCTCTCCCCAAGGAGATGAAGGTGAAGCGTAGAGGAGGATTCTTAAATTAAGGAAGAAATTTTTAGATGAGTTGTCTCATTTTGGGGTGCCATGGCAGGTACACAAACAGACACCAGCGTGAGCTGCTTTTCGCTCTAGAATCCAGCTGTCCTCGAATTGAATTCGTGGCATGCCTGGGCAGTGGTTTCCAACAGCTGGCTGGGGCTCCAGGCCCCCTGGAGGGCAAGAGAGAGAGGGAGAGAGAACTAGGGAAGGGGTGGAAGACCGAGGGGGCTGAACTAAGGAGCAAGTCAGTGCACCCCTGGATACAAGTAGCCGCTCTCAGAGTTCCCATCCTCAATTCTGCCCTAAGGGTAGCAGTGTAACACGTAAAAGAGGCCGGAAGAGAGAGTAAATTCCCTCCCCACCCCCACCTCCTTTTCAGAGAGAGATTGCTAGAGGGATAAATCATGTCAGTGATATTTCCTTCAAGATATTAAATTGTTGCAATGTACAACAAATTGAATGATGGAAGATAGGATGTCTTAATGAGGTTTCGCTTTCAATGAGTGTTGATTTTCTACGTATTTTAAAATCTCTTTCATGGGTGGGTGGGGGAAGGAAGGACCTTGAAAGAAAGAAGGGGCTTCTGGGGAAATGTGCTGCAGCTCCCCAGCAAGGATGCCTGGGTTTCCTTGAGCCCCTCCTAAACAAAGTCTGGAGGGGAAAGGGGCCCCAAAGTTGGGGAGAGTCTCCTTTAGGGCCTAAAAGCGGTGGGCGCGGGGGTGGGCGACCTGAGGAACAGAATGTAAGTCTCAGCCCTGGAAAGTTAAGTGTTTTATTACGTCCCTAAACAGAGGGCAGAGACTGAAAGGTCTCACCGATTTATAATGAACAGGAACCAGCTGCTGGGGGAAAGAGGCAGAAATGCTGGACGGGGGGAGAAGGGGAAGCAGAAATACAAATAAGATCACCTACTGCTTAAAGACTTTCAGCAAAATTAATTTCCAACACACTCTTCCCCCATCACCTTTCATTCCTGAGGAATGAAGCCTTTTTCTTTCAGTTGGATCTTTAATTATGCAGCTGAAATTTGCTGGAAGGATTCGCTCCAAGGGGGGAGAGCAGGTCAGATAAGCCGGGTCTTCCCTCCATTGGATTATATTTTCCTTTTTTCATTTCATGATAATTTTAATTTTTTGGCGAAAGAACAAACTGTCTATGGGGGGAAAGCTGGGACTTGGGTTTTTCTAAATGTATTTATATTTTCCTGTTAAATTTGTCTGAAAACAATTATGGAAACTCATCAGCAGAAGCAAGAACAGATGTTTTATTAAAACTGCAGTTGAGCTCTGTAAATATGCACAAGTCCTGGGAAGGAGGGGCGAGAACTTGTTCTTTGTTTCTATAAAACAAGCCTAGAGAAATCAGAGAACACCCCCCATCAGGCCCATAGGTCTCCGACTTGGTCTGTCCCCTTCTGCCTCCGGAATCAGGCATCGGCGGGGGTTTGGCAGAAAGAGCGGTTCGCTTTCAGAGTTGGAATTAGTGGATTCAAAAACAGAATTCCAAAAACACAGAAAAGGAATAAAGGCGGAAAGTTGCCCGCTCCCTGTTTCAGCCACCCCCCCCCATCCAAAACACATGCTTTTCATGAGTGCTAGTTATAGGAGAGAACTTACAGTAGGTGCCCTGGGCCTGAGTGGGGGGCAGTCATTGGTCTGGAGTCCCCAAAGTTGCATTGGAGGCTGGGCACTTGAGGGTTTCCCAGGGCAAGTACAGGGCTCCTACTCCAGCCCTACCCCACTCCAGGCTGGGGGCTGCGGGCCTGTGTAGCTCTGAACTGGGGAGAGGGTGGCTGGGACTGGACGCTGGCCCTGGAGGGGTCCATGGGCAGGCCTCATCTTGCCTGCCTTTGCTTTCCACTCTGCTCTGGGAAATATATTAATTTCTTGGGTAAGGGTATCTGAAGTGAGAGGGATGAGATCTGGAATTTTTATTGGGGGACAATCTTCTCCAGAGGTCCTGCTTAGTTCGTATTCTGCCAGTCTTCTCTCTCTCCCCAGATCCCCCAACTCTGCACCGATGTCTGTGACTCACCCAGCCTCGCACACAGATACACACACTCCATTCCTGGCTGCCGGCGCCACCAACTACAGCTCGGCGCCTCTGGAGGCTGCTCAGGGACGTGGGCACTGGAGCCGCAGGACTCAGCACTCGGCCTGAGCGCCTGTCTGCCTGGAAACCACTATAGCTGCCGACCCACCCCTTCAATCCTCGACTTCCAGGGCGGGAGAGGAGCCGTTGCCCCACTGGTCCCTTTTGTGCCACTGGGCGAAGGCTGAAATCCCTCTTGCCGAGAAAGCCGAGTTTCAAATTGTTCAGCTCACCTCACAATAGCACTGTTTGGTTAAGGCTTTGCTGTTCTAGAGTGACTGCTCAGTTGGCCCGACTGACTTATGATTGGATTTTTTTTTAATTTAAAAATTAAAGAAAATAAATCCTACTCCAAATGCCTAGTGTTTTGTGTACGAGCTCCTTTGATCTCCACAGAATCCGGAGTAAAAGGACTGCAGAGAGAGTTTCCTAGTCTGCCAGATAGCCTGAACACGGGGAACTGTGTCTGCTTGGGGAGACCAAAACAGAGCTGACGCAAGGAGCCCCCAGCTTCTCAAAGATCTAGTGGGGAAATCGTCTGAGCTCATACCTCCCCATACACACATTGCATTGCAAAAAAGAATGCTCTTTCGTCTTGCAAAGTTCAGGCATGGAAACACTTGGAGAAAAGTGAAATTTGACACACCCAACCCGGAAATGGATCCCATTTGGGGGTGCTGATATTCTGGGGACAGGGCCCAGGCTGGCTAGTTGAATGGAGTTGGGGGTCAGCAGGGAGGGGGGAAGGAGGAAAAGGCCAGATGGGGGCATGTCAAGTGCCTGAGAACTGCCCCAAACACCTCAGAGGCCTGGGCTTTTGAGCTGAGCCGTTGAAAGGCTGCCCAAGCTGCTTTTGCTTTATTTACAATTAAACAGAGGAGAAAGGTACCTGGAGGGCCGCCGCTAACTCACGTCATATTTTCTCTTTTCCCTCTCTCTGTCCAGATTTCTGCCTGACCTTTCCTTATCACCACTCCACTCAATGCTGCTACCATTAGCAGACACAAACTCCCACACCGGCATTTGTTCGGCTTCTCAATTCACTTCTCTGGCTGAAGGTTCAAAAGTAAAATACGTCCTCAGCATCTCTGTCCCATAACACTCAGCCCTGAGCCCCTTTCGGCTCCCTCTGGAAGAAATCCTTTTTGGCTTTGGGCGCCTGGCCGCCAAGCCTCCCACCTCTATCCCAAGCAGCTGAGCATCAGCTGAGGCGGGGGCATACAGAGAGACTTCGGACATAGTATCTCATCCCCACTGGGAATGGGGAGGGAACTCTGAGTGACATTTCAGGGAGGGAAAGCAAGTAGCCGTCCTTGGCCCAGGAGGGAAAAGGAAAATCCAGAATATTTTTGGCCCCCAGAATAAGGGCAAAGGATCCCCAACTTCCTGGCTTCTCTTATACCCCTCCACGCCGAGCACTGTTTGGACCCCTTTTGGAGGTTTATGAAAATTGTAAAGTTCAAGAACAAGGCATTTATGACGTCACAGCGAGTTGTCACGAGGAAATTGTAAATGTCATAAAAGTTATGTACGGCTAGGTTCTGTGTGTGGTTCCCCGCCTCCCCTCACTTTGTCTCTCGCTCTCCCCTTCTTCCCCTGGTCTAAGTTTTCCCACTTGAAAATAAAATGTTATTATGTTCTAGAACAATAAGCCAACAATGAAACATCATCCTCATTTCCCTATAAATAATTTTATCCTTTATTGTTTGCAGACCTAAAAGAACCATTTAATCTGCGCTGGCGAAAAGAGGGAGAGAGATGGGGAGGGGGGAGATTGATTTCAGAAACTAGAATATTACTTACTTCAGTGAGACTCTTTCAGATTTGATAGCCAGGAGCAAAATTAGAGGCGAACAGCGGCCTCTCCGACTCTACACCTGGTGGGATTGGAGATTTATAGGATCTTTAGTGAAGGGGCAATTTAATTTTGTAGGATTTGCTTAAATTCACTGCTATTTTGGGGGGCTGAGGAGAAGGGAGGGTGAGGGGAGAGCGACATGCTTTATCTAGCTTTATGAATCCGCCAACGTTACCCTGATTTAAAAACCCAACAACCTATGTCTCAGGGAAAACTCCTGCAGAAAGGAGTGAGGTGAGGGGGACTCAGCTTTCTCCATGAGTGTGGCCCCCCTCAACCAAGCAGTTGCCAGGGGGAAGGAAGAAAAGCTGGAGGCTGTTCTGTCTCTCCACCACCGGGACACCCGGAGGTTTATGGTGTCCCCATAATTCCCCCCACCCTATAAACAGCTGCCCTATTTTAGGATGATTTCTGCTTCCTCCCCTCGGAAAGGGAGAGTGAGGGAGGTGGTAATGGCGGGAGCGGGGTGCCGGAAAGGGGAGGGAGTTCAGGATAGCGCTGTACTTTGTTCTCCGGGGTGAGTTTGCTGGTTTGGCGGGTTTCTGACGCAGGGTGGCAGCAGACAAAACAAGTAAACACCTCACAGACACAATAAACAGGGGCGGCTGCGGCGCCTGGCAGAGGCCGGGCGAGGAGCACACTTTGGGGGTAATGTCACCCTGGCACCCGGGGGCCGCCCAGGCCTAAAAGCTCAAGGCCGCCCTTGGTGCTGGTGGAGAGAAGGTGGGAGAGAGCTGCACGCCTCGGGACCCGCAGTAAGTCTAGACAGGAGATTCTGGGGAGAAACCTGATCACCTAGGGAGTGGAGGTGATCTCCCGTCCTTACTTTCTTTCCTGGGCATTTTAATGGACATTTATACTCCCCCCACCCCACTCTGTCTTTCCCTGGGCCCAGAAGAGAGAAAGAAGGCTGGTTAATTCCCAGCCCTGGCCCACACTCAGTGCTTTAAGCCTGCAGGCGGTCAGACCCAGCTTCTGCCCCATCAGCCATCTCCCCGGTTTAGGTAGCAGAGAGGATTAAAATAAAGTCCCACCGGTAACCAGATCTGGGTATTTGGGGAACTTAGAGAGCCCCTAATCTGCCCCACAGATGACACAGGCAAAGCTGGGGCCCCATGAGCGGCCAGGGCGAGCAGGGGCGGGGGAGAGATGCTCACCACACCCCTACCCGTCTGGCTGGCTTTCCCCGCGGCCTCTCCAGGCACCCTAGCTGGCAGCCGCCCCAGACCACCGCCCAGAGGCCACCTTATTAAGCACTCCAATCCCCTCTGCCACCTCAGCAAGGCTTCAAGCACCAGGGCCCAGCGACTGCTCAGAACGGCTCACAGGCCTACCTCACCCATGAAAGTTTCCCACCGAACTCACTTTCAACACAACCGGGTTCCCCTGCTAAAAGGGTCCTGAGCTGGGGAAGATTGCAGGGAGGTGTGGAGAGAAAGCAGAAGGGAGTCAGTCTTTCCCCAGCCCAGCTACTTGGACAGCGAAGGCAATAAGGTCTGAGAAAGCCTTTGTGGCATCCCTTGGTTACTGACACCCACATACTCCGATTCCAGCACGAACACATTTTCAGCAGAGCACGCACAGAGGGCACCCAGTGCCTCCTTGAGCCCATGCCCATCTAGTGAGGGCTAACAAAATTTCGCAGGCACATAAAACGGTGTTTGAGTGAATACAGGTATGGCTATATACAATTAACCATTGAGGAAGTATGAGTCTGTACGTATTCATGCGTAAGTCTGCGCCTGTACATTTCAGCCTCTACCTAATAAATGTATAAAGCTACCAAGTCTGGTTTCGGAACACAACAGCCAACCCAACAAGGCCGCCTCCTCCAAACAAGGTCTCATTCTTCGTGGGGATCACAACTGTCAGACCAGGGAGAGAAAGGGTTTGCTTTGCCCATTTCTCCTTAGCTAGGAGCTGGTGCATGAAATACAGCCCGTGGCAGGACTGACAAAGCCCCGTAAGGGGCAGGCCTGAAGTGCCCAAAAGAGTGGGCTCAGAGGAGACTGCTGGGGGCCCTGGGCTCCAGGGAGTGTCACCAGACCCTGACCCACAGACTCAGGGCTTCTGTCCAGCCTTAGTTCTGGGTGTGCAGAGTCCTTGAGCCTGATGCTATTCTCAGCTGCCCGGGCTATTATTAGACAATCACAGCAGTGCTCTCCCTCTCTAAGGACCTTGTCTACAGGGAATCTGGCCTGCAAGGAGGCTGAGGGCTGCCAAGGGTGGCCCCTCTTGTGTTTCAGTTTGAGCACCATCGAGGGAAAGAGAGAAGGGAAAGAAAATCGAAAGTAAGGAGGGAAGGAAGGGGCTGGCATCTGGGGCTGGGTTTTTTCCCTGGCCAGACTAGAACACAGAAAACCAGGGCCAGTCACTGTTGCTATGCTGTCTCTGCATCTGTGTCCTGAGGAGGAGTCTAGGGGTGAAGGAAGTGAGGGCCTGCGGGACCCTAGCCAGGAAGGGACAGAAAATCAACGGATAAAAATATTATATAAGGACATTTCAGGACGGTGCTGTTAACCCGACAACCACGAACCCTAGCACGCTGAAGTCTCACCAGCCACGTTCGGTTAGATCCCTGTAGGCCGAGGGGAATACCCCAGCCTTGCCCAGGCCCACCCCTCCAAAGGAAGGGGGGCCCTCTAGTATTCCAGGTGAACCCCTACTGGCCTGAGAGGCCTTCTCCAGAAACTGTTGTCCTCAGGGGTGAACAAAGGAGACTTGTCCGTACTCCCCCCCCCCCACCGTCCCCCAGCAAATCAGTGCGGCCATCTGCAGGGGTGGGGGCAGACAAAATACAGCGAAAGAGAAATAGAGGCCTCACCGATCGGCGGTTCCCACAGTACGCCAGGAGAAAGGCTCCCATTTTCAGGCTTCCGGGGCCCCTCCACTGGCCCACTGTACTCCCCTTGCCCTTTGCAGGTCGCACGGACTCGGGGCCTCGGCGGCCGCAGCCTGGCTCTCCGGGGCGTCAGCCCCTGGGCCGCGCCGAGCGGCGGGAGAGCGCGCGGCCGCCGGAGCAGGCGGCGGGCTGGGCCCATTTGGGAAGAGCCAAAGCGCTTTTCTCGATCGTAAACAAGGAACGCGAAATTAGCCCCTCGGCAGACGCCTCTGCCGACACACACAAGTCCTACTGGGTGTGGGGGGTGGAAGGGGGAGAGAAAATGCCATTTCTTCCCCCGGGAGAATACCTCCTAGGCCTTTATGTCGGCTGCGAAAGGGGAATTTTGGGGGGGGCAGGAGAGGAAGGGAAGGGGATTGTGGGGGTAGGGGAGGGAAGATTCACCGTCAACTCGGGCCCAAGGGGTTTGATTTGAATGCAGTCGAATTATATTTTTAAGAATTTGATAAAAACAGGTTATCCACCCCCTCCCCCCCCACCAGGCGACCGGTCGGGGTTTAAACAGGAAATCGAGGAGTGATCCCCTCCCCCACTCGGGCTTGGCGGAGAAGCCCAGTCGCGCGGTTGGAAGAGGATGGGGGTGGGTGCTCTTGGCTCGGACTGGAGGGGACTCTGGCCCCCAGACTCTCGGATCTCTCCAGGAATATGCACCCCCCTCCCCCAGCTCTGGGGTGTGTCTGCCTGGGTGTGTAAGCGATTGTGTGTGCATCACCGCCCTTTATAAACAGAAGCTCACACATATAGGTGCCGCCTCGGACCCAGGCCAGGGAGCAGGGCGGGGTCATGTATCAAGCTGCAACACATTCAGGGCTACGTACATTTGGAAGAAATTAAGCCACTGTGTTATGAAACCATGTGTGTTGGGTTAGGACTATACAACACGCCATTAGCACCAATTATTAAGAAGCTCCCGAGCGCCCGGGACCCTCCAGGCCGCCCAATTCTGACGTCCCTATCCCATGAGCCAGCCGTGCCTTGAGTCCGCACTGTCTCCGCTCACCCAGGAGGCCCCGCCAGCGAGGCCTGGTCCTGTGCCTTGGGCCTCCCCAATTCCCACCTACGCCCCAGACAGGGCAGATTCCAGCCCAGAGCAGCCAGGCGACGCGGATGAAGCAGCCCAGTGGATATCCTGGGTGGGGTGGCGGCGGCTGGGGGTGGGGGACTCCGGGCCGCGGGGAGAGAAGGCAGATTGGCCCCCTTTCTCCAAGCACAAGATGGCTTTTGAGTACCGAGTACCGAGTCCCCCAGCCCCACCCCCACCCGTCCACCCGCAGTGCAGAGCACCTCCCATCTTTCCATCCGTTCGAGTGGGGGTGGGAGCAGGGGTGGGAGCAGGGGTGGGCAGACGCTCTCCCCTCCGCCGACGCGCACCAGCCACCAGCCTCCCCCCTAATTGCCAATTAACAGGCCCAGCCGCCCGCCTAGCTGCGCTCTCTTCCTGCTCATCTGCCCGGCCCTGGGCCCGCACTGCGCATGTGTGAGCTCTAGCGGTCGCGCTCTCCCGGAGACAGGGAGGAGGCTGCGGAGCAGGGAGGGGGCGCTGGAAAGTTTGTTTGGGGGTTGGGGGGGCAGACTCTGCTCAGGGAGCAATGGTTACAGCCTACAGGTTCTCTCTCCTGCCCTGAAGTTTGAGCTCCGGGCCCCCTCTGTCCCAGTCCCATTAGCCAAGAGGCCGCAGATCTATAAAACGTAGGGACATGGTCCGCGCACTAGACCCAGGCCTTGAGCCCCACCGGTGCAGTCCTGTGCCCCCCGACCCCCAATTTCAGCGTACAGTGACATAAGGACAATACACTTCCCCCACTACCATATTCCAATTTAACCCAATTTCTTCCCCTCCCTCCCCTTCCCCCCCCATAATTGCCCACGCGCCCACCCTCTAACCCTCTCGCCAGCCCCCTCTCCTCTCTAACCAAGACAAGCCGCTGCTGTCCTTATCTTGAAACCGCCACCCAGTTACGGACCATTAGTTACATATTTGAACCAATAAGGAAACACTTACCGGGCGCTGCTGTCACTCTCCCTCTCCCTCTCTCTCTCTCTGCCTCTCTCTCCCACTCTCTCTCTTTCTCGTCTTCCCTCATTCTGTGCCGCTGCCGAGACTGCTTCAGCTCCACATACATATATATACTTTATATAAATTTAAAAATAAAAAAGAGTAGTCCCAATAATCAAAAAGCCAAATAAATTTGAAGCAGAGTTGCGAGAAGGAGGCAGGAGTGAGAGCCTGGGAGAGGGGAGGGGCGGAGGCAGCTGCAGCTCCCTATCTCAACTGCTCCCGCATTCCTCCTGCCCCTTGGGGGGCTAGAGGGTCGGGAAGGGAGAGAGGGGTGTCCTCTACTCCTGCCTCTCCCCCCACCCCCCTCCCCAGGTGCTTCCAGCTTCCAGCAACTCCATCTGGGAGGAAAGAAATTAAATGAGGGGAGAAAATAATTATTAATCAGATTAATTAAAAAAAAATACTGGTAATGAAGGGAGCGCCCAGCGCAGGTTTCCCTGGCAATGGTTAGGCTCTTACAGGGAGGACTGTTCTGCGGAGCGCTCCGAACGGACAAACCACAATAAAAAGTTCACGTTCATGGATGGAATCCACATGACTTCTTGTGGCCAATCCAACTTGTGAGTCGATCGTAAACTTTTATTACTCAGCTGTAAATTTTCTGCAAACAACCGGGAATGCGATGCATTTGTGTAGCGTGTGCAAATGGGCGCCACGGTCGCCATGTTTACCCAATTCTCTCTCAGAGGGAGCATCCCCAGACCCCCACCCCACCCCCACCCACCGTCCACTCCCCACGGGCCGGGCTGCTCCTGGCTAGCGCGGAAAGGGCAACGGGGGAACTTGACAGGAGAGAAGGAAGGATTCTGGCCGCTGAGTCGGCTGCCTCCCTTTGCCATACCGAATTTTACATATTTTCCTTAATAAATGGGGTATTAAGGCTGGCTCTGGCAGAACCAAAGCTTTGCAAAGGTTTGTGGCATTGGGGCAGTGCCGGCGGCGGCGTGAAGGGACTGAGAAGGGATTCACTCCCTACCCCTGCTCCCTCCCCACCCCTGTTTTTTCTAGGAAGAGAACAACATCCTTCCCAATGGGGCGTCCGGGAAGCCCCCCCCCCACTCCACCCCAGCTGGGAACGGGAGGGGCAGGAGGCTGGAGGCCTCATACCCAAGCCTGACCTGGCCACGGTCTGAAGAGCAGAGAGGGTTGAGACCGGTCCTGGGCAGTCCTGCGGAGGCAGCAGGAGGGATGGGAAGCGGGGGCAGCCTCTAGAACCCCCAAAGCGCCCGTCATCCCCAGGTTCCTTTCTCAGAGAAAACGAATGACATTTTTTCCCCAAGACCATCCCTAGTGTCAGGTCTCCTCAGTTCCTAGGTTCAGACGGCAGCTTCCTCCTAATCTTTCTAGAATTAAAAATAAAATAAAGGCCCACGATCTTGGCTCCTACTTCTTTTTCCTTTGGGTGCATGGTCATGTGAAGCCTTTTCTGTCTTATCAGGTGGCCCACACCCACCTGCCTTTTTCAGAAAAATTCTGGTGTCTGGGCAGCTGGGACACACCTTGGAGGCTCTGAAAAAGAACCAATTCTTCTCTAAATTCCACCTTCCATGCTAAACACCGAGCACCCGAGACTCCAGACCCCTGATTTTGGCGATGACTCCAGCGTGGGGGAGCCCAGAATAAATTCCCCCACAGAGACTATTTGCCAACCATTCGCAGCCCAGCCACTTTCCCCACCAGCTGGAGATCTGAAGGCGTAAAGTTCTTCCCTTGGTCCCAAATTAAGCTGGCATGGGAACTTCCGTGGCTGGGTGCCCCCACCCCAACCAACAGGGGGTCCCTCATCCCCTCCCCAAACTTCCTCCACAGTAAGAGAAGCATTTCCCTCAGCCGGATGCAGAGACCTCGTTCCTTTTACAAACCCACCCATAAATTTTATAACAGGTAGTTAAAAATTACGACAAGGAAGCGCTGGCCCAGCTTCTCACAATGGGCCGAGGGGAGAATGGGGCAGCACTGCGGGCAGTTCACCGGAAATTTTACTTCTAGTCTGTGGCATAACCTGTCCTGAGTTCACTTTAACTGGGGCGGGGTGACTCTCTCTAGCCAACACGCGGCCAGTGGGGCATCTCATTTAGGGAAGCTGAGGCTGGGGAGGGCAATCCATGCTCCCATCTCTCCCAAAGAACCCTTTAGGGCACTCACTACCTCCCTCACCCCCCAGATCCCCTGCGGGCCCGCTACTCCCTTGGCCTCTGCAGTGAAGTGGGGAGGGAGAAAAAATGCCGAGAATTTTCAAAAATGCCAGAGAAACGAATTTGCCCCCCAACTTAATAGCTGCATTATCCCTTCTCTACGGTTGGGGTTAGAATAATAAATGTAGGGCGAAATGAGCGAGCTGCTTCGACTCAGCAGTTTGAAAGATACTATTTTTCACAAATCACAAATAGCTTTCGGAAGCCACTTTGATTGGCTAATAAACAAGTAAAGAATGGGAGAATGTCCTATCTGCTGCAGCCGAATGGTCCTCATTCCGGTAATGGGACGGCGGGAGCATTTGGGAGGACGCGTTTCCAAAGAGAGTGCAACCCGCTCGCAATTAAGTCCCCCCATAAAATGGGTTTTGCCTCCTTTTCTCTCCAAACGAGAAAACAGAGGCGGTGGGCACCAGGGGTGGGGAGTCGGGTGCTGCAAGAGGGGGCGGCTGGAGCTCTCTTGATCTGGCCCACCCGATGCTTCGCATGTCAAGCGATGCCGGGTGCCAGACGCACCCAGCCCTCCGACGCCGGGCTTGGGGCCACCAGCACTACACGGCCGGGGTTGAATGGGACATTGGGTGTGGCGAAAATTCGGCGAGGTTCTTCGAAGCCACTTAGTGTAGGGTCAACCCACTCGGCTACCGGGCCAGCGATTTGTATTAATAGCAATCAGAAGTCCACATTTAAAAATGAAACGGCCCTCGCCGGCCCTCGGAGTGTGGACGCCTGTGGGAAGGCCTGAGGTCGGAGCGAAATGCTCTCTTTTCAGGCCTCCCCGGCGGGTTGCCGGTGTTTCCCGCAGCAGACGGGGTTACCTGGATGCCCCGCGGCTGGCAGCAGGGACCCCAGGTTCCGAAACATTTCCCCCAGAGCTGCTCAAAGCTGTTCCCGGCTGCCTGCAGCCTGCGCTTCCAATTGGCAGCCTCGCTGGGGCCGCAGGAGTCCCCCGTTAATGACGCCTGATCCAATCCTGTGTTCAGAACCACTTTGAGTGGGAGCCAGGCACCCAGATGCGGGTGAAATTACACAAAACTAGAGTCGACCTGGGCCTAAGTCTGGGAAAATCATTGACCAGGGAACAGAGACAGAGAGAGACAGAGAGAAGGATCTGGCCTCAAAAATATTTCAGTCTTTGGGGGTCTGGTTTTTAAGACCAGAAGATCCCTTCCCCTCCCCTCTCCCCCTCTCATGACTGAATCAGATGACTTGTATCTCTGGAATTTGGTATTATTTGACCAGGATCTTACTGGCATAAACAGATTTCTCTGTCTAGGACCCTCCAGGGAGGAGCGAGAGCCACCTTGCCCCCCCGAGTGCCTTAGCCTTCGACCCTTTATTTTGGGGAATGAGGAGTCCAATGAAGACTGTCCTTTCCCCGCTGTGGCTGGGGTGGGGGACTGTACACTCAGCAGCAGCCCCCAACCCAGGCCAACTGAGCCACATTATAAGGGCAGGGCGGGCTGCCCCACTGCCAAGGTGAAGCCAGGAGCGGGCTTGAAACAGCCAGAACAGAGGCTGGCGTAAGTGTAAGCGGGCTAGGTGACAGCGACGGCTCTGTGCTGGCCACATTCGCAGTTCAGACTGTGGGCCCATGCTGTTGGCATGCCAGTCCACTCCCCTTCTCCTTCCCTCCTCTCCCCTGGGCGTAAGCTTCCTAGCCCCCCAACACTCAAGCTTCTTCCAGCCAAGCCCTCCAGACTGCCTTGAGCCTCACATCCTTCCCACCCTGTTCATGGTCTAATGCTGGGTGCTGAGTACCAAGGGTTGGCCATGAGGGGCATGTGGAGATGAGAAAGCACACCATTGCCTCATCCTCATCCTGAGCCCCAGCCCCTGGAAGAAAAAGGCCTAGTTGCCGGAGGGGCACAGGGGCAGAGTTTGGGTCTGGGCCCAGCCCAGGACGAGGAGGAAGAAGAGGGATAAGTGGGGAGAAGACGCCTTCTTCCCATTGGGATCCTGGCATCCAGAAACCCACTTTGTTTGGAGCCAAGGTTCTCCCAAGAGCATCTTCCTCCCCCTCCCCCTCCCCCTCTTCTTCACCTCCCCCCTTTCACCTGCCCTCCCAGTCCAGCCTGCTCCTCTCCACGTGAGTGCCCCCAACCCCAAGTCAAATCAGTGGAGGAAACCTTTACCAGAGTGTTGAAAAAGAAGCAAAAGGAGGGGAGGGGGGTAGAGAATGGGGGGGTGTGCTGGGGAAAAAACAACTCAGTCATTGCAGCTTCAACTATTTTTCTCCTCTTTTTTTTAATTATGACTCACGTATACAATACAAAGTACTTGGACCAGAAACAGGGCTGCTGGGACACAAAATCTACATTCATAGCTGGACATAAAGACAAATGACAAAAAATTATTATTATAGATATATTTTAACGTTTTTTTCCTTTCGAGCACATTGCATAAACAGAGAATTCAAGACAGAGTTTACTATACATTCAGTGCAATTTAGTTCTACTCTACTGGGGTTAGAAGCACAATAAAAGCTCACAGGACCGGCGGGCTAGGCAGTCTCAGTTGTTGGGTTTTTCTTATTGAAAGAAGCAGCAACAAACGACAGCAAAACCGCATTACAAATACTCTCAAAGCGGGATTTCTTCCTATAGGTAGTGATAAAATACATTGGAGGTTTCTTTCTTTTTTTTTATTTTAAATTTTTTCTCTTTTTTTCTCCCATATTAGGATGTTTTTAAATTTCTCTTTTTTATTTTTTTCAAGATTATTGCAGGTTCCCTTTAGGTAGTATGTTAAAGACTCATTATTATTATCAGTATTATCAGTATTATTATTGTTTTCATGATTATGGTGATGTCTGAGTGCTCACTAATGCAGCTCAGAGGAAGCTGGGCCCAACAACAGAAATTAGACAGGAAAGGGGAGGGAGGCATGGGCCCGAGTGACCATGGGATGGCTAGGTAGGATCTTAGCGGGTGACTGCAGGCTCCTATCTACGCCGTGGAAAGGGAGGGGGGAGGGGGAGACCCCATCTGCTTCAGGTTTCCATCAGGTTCCTAGAGAAAGTCAAGGGAGTCTTTCTAAGCGGGGAGCCCCAGGGAGGGAGAGGGGATATTCCTCGCTATCATTTAAAAAATGTCTTTGAACATCTTCCCTTTCTTTTCCTTCCTTCCTTCAATTTTCTGTCCTTTGGGAAAAAAAAAAAAGTCAATCTAATACATTAATCCTAGCTTGAAAACAAAGCCGCCACGAGTCTTCTTCTGCAGTTTGAGGGGGTTCCCCTCTAAAATAAATACCAGAGAAGCAGGGAGGTGGCAGGGTGGCAAGACGGGGCCGGGAGAAGGGGCAAAGACGCCAGGTCTCAGACCTTAAAATCCAGGCAGGACTAAGAAGGGTGGGGGGACGGACAAGTGTGTGTGTTGGGGCAATGACTGAGGCAGAGACTCGGAACTTTTCGCTGTGTCTCGGTCTCCCCCCTCCAGTCCCCAAACAAATAAAGATCCGGGGAAGTCCAAAGGTAATAAAACCCGAGCTGCAAGTATCTGACAGGTAGTTGGGGTTTTGAGTGTCATTCTATTCTCTATAAAAGCAAATGACAGTCGTAAACTTCTCAATTTATCCGCTACCATAAAACGAAACTTCAAGGGAGTTGCTAAAGGCGGGGGGGGGGTCCTCTCTTTTTTGCTCAGTCCTTGTTTTCTTCCTTTTCCTCCTCTTCTTTCTCCTCTTCCTCATTTCCTTCTTCCTCCACCTTCTCCTCGTCTCGGGCTCCCGGCAGTTTATCCTTGTTGTTCTCCTTTTTCCACTTCATCCTTCGGTTCTGGAACCAGATCTTCACTTGTCTCTCAGTCAGTCCCAGGGCGTGAGAGACTTCAATCCGGCGCTTTCGTGTCAAATAAGGATTAAAGAGAAACTCCTTTTCTAGTTCCAAGGTCTGATACCGGCTGTAAGTTTGCCTTCCGCTGCGCCGCCCCGGAGCTGGACAGAACAGAAGCCCAGTCTGGTTATGTTTGGGTGGGGGCCTGGCTTTCCCCTGTCACTCTTCCTCCCCTGAAGTCCCCCCTGTGGTCTGCCCAGTTCCCCTCCCTCCTGCAGAAAAGGCAAGAGTGGAAATCAGGCAAGGGCAGGAAAGTTTGGGGGTTTGTTTTGGCTTGGCTCCACCTTGGGAGGTGGGGGGGCAGGGACTGGGGTCTGTCTGGAAAGGAGGGGCTGGCAGAGGCCAGGGGGGCACTGTAGAGTCTCCCCAGGCCTGCAGTCCCAGAAAACTGGCCCTTGCAGCTTTGTTCACAAGTGCAGAGGGGCATTGGGTGAGCAAGGCTGGGGACAGAGTCTGTTTCCAAAAGGAAGGCATAAGGGCTGGGGGTGAAGAAGTGGGGCTCTGTTCACTGCCCTTCCTCGGATCTCTCTGCCTAATGCTTTTCCAGAAGAAAAATAATTGATCTCCTGGAATGTATCACTGCTTGGCCTGACTGCTAACTGGAGACCAGCAAATAAATCACGGGCCATCCCCACTGGAACTTGTCGTCTTCTCGCGTCCCCTTTTACTTCGAAACTGGGCTCTGAGAGGCCACCCTTGGAGGGGCTCATGACCTGCCCTGCCCTGAGGGTCTCAGGGAGACCCCGCAAGCCTTTGACTGGGGACAGCTTGGCGAGGGTCCCCCAGACCACAGAGCTCTCTAATCTGCATGGCCTCCATCCTTTCTGGGACTCTTTTTTCTTCTCCTTGACTCTCTCTCTCTTCTCTCCAACTGAGGGAAGTAAAGCAAAGTTGGGGTAGTGGCCCTAAGGCTAGCTCTCTGAGAGAAGGTGGTGGGTGCCCCAGACAGGCAGAGCACCTGTCCTTGGGGTCCCGCCACCCTCTGATCCAGCTAGGGGAGGGAAGCAGGGGTCTCCCTTCACCCCAAGACAGCCTGGCCACTGTCCTGGACTGAGGCTGTCTGCCTTATGGAGAAACTGGCTTGCTCCAAAAGCTGATAACCTCAGGGTCCCCGGCCCCTTCCCAGCCACCTCCCCAACTTTGACTAAAGATGATGAGAGGGAGAGAAAGAGGGGTGGAGGGGAGAGAGAGAGAGACAGACAGACTGACAGAAGTGGAGAAAACGTTTTTTTTAACCCTTTGCACCCAGACACCACCTTTTCCCCCACCTTCACCCCAATCCCCCAGGCGAACTCCGTGCCCCACCCCCAGCTGAACCTCCCAACCTCCAGAAACCCACTCACGCCCGGGGGTGGGGCCCGAGAGAGCCCCAAGCCAGGAGGTAAAGCGAGGGCAGACAAAAAGGAGGCAAGGGCGGGGGGAGACCCCGGAGCGCGGGAGACCAAGGGGGAAAGAGAAAAGGCTTCTCACCGTGGGGTCTCATCCATGGAAACATGAGGCTGGGAGACGAGTTTTGATTTAAGTGGCCTTGTCCTTCGCTACTGTTAGTGTTGGCGGAGGATTTACAGTCGGGATATTGCACCACGCTCGCCTCTTGCTGAGCCCCATAAAGGGACTGTCTGGGGAGCGCCTCGTAGCCATAGAATTTGGAGGCGTCTCCGTGGCAGCTCAGCGAGCACGGGTTCTGCTGGTAGCCCGAGTTGGAGATGCCCGAGGTGCCGTGGTGGAAGAAGTCTTGGACGTGGTGCGAGGCGTGCTGGAAGCCGGGCGCCGAGCCGCCGGGCCCGTACACCAGCGCATGGCTCCGGCCCACGCTCTGCGGGAAGCGGCAGTCGTAATAGGCCGGCTCCAGGGACTCGCCGCCTTTGTACTTGGAGAACAGGGGGTTGACGAAGTAGGAGCTCATGCTGGGCACATGAAAACCCGCCGCCCTCTCCCCTCTGGCTCCCGACTCCCCCGCCCGGGACCCCGAAACTGCCCTCCCCCCGGGGGCGATCCCTAGGCCGGCCGGCTCCCCGGGGCGGCGGGCCGGGCTGGGCAGGTGGGGGGCGCCTGGGTGCCGGCGGGGCGGCGCAGCTCGCGGGCTGGGCGCGGGCGGCGGCGGCGGCGGCGGCGGCGGCGGCGGCGGCGGCGGCAGCGGCGGCGGCTCTCTTCACTGTCGGTAGGTAGAGCTCGCGCTCTCGCACTTAGCTCTTTCCTTTAACAGCCCGGGCGAATTCCTCAATTCCTCAGACTCCCGGCGGTGGCGGCGCTTACACGCGATTCGCGTTCATCAATCCACGACATGAAGACAGGCGAGAGGGAGAGAGGGAGAGAGGGAGAGAGGGAGAGGGGGAGAGTGGGGGGCGGGGGGTAGAGGGGTTCAGGGCTGGGGGGGACCTGGAAGAAGGGCAGGGGAGGAAGGGGGAGGGATGGGGGTGTGGTATGTCGGGGGGTGGTGAGCCAGCTCTAGCTAATGACTAGGGCCAGCTTTTCCAAGGTGCGCATTCAGATTTGAAGGTGCCTCTCCCCCCTTCTCTTTTCCTTCCTCTCAGAGAGAGACAGAGAGAGAGAGATACCTGAGCCAGCAGGTCAACTCAGGTTACCTCAACAGGTATAAGACCCCCCCGAGGGGTTGAATGCCAACAAGAAAGTTGCTCCCCTAACCCCCAAAGATGGGCTCCCCAGGGGCGTCCTTAAGTCTGGGGACTCTGAGGAAGAACAAGCACATCATATCCCCAAACACTTCAGGCATCAGAACCCTCCATGACTCTTGCCCCTCTCCAGGGTGGGAAGCTGCCCTGTCTTCCCTAGATCCTTTTCTCTTGCCTGCCTGCGTGCTGTGGGTAGTGGAGAGGGCCAGAGGCCGGGGGCACTCCATATACCCAGTCAGGGCTGCACTGACCCTTCAGACACCAGCTCCTGCCTGGGCTTGCCACGAGCTTGCTGGAGAGCAAAGCTGCTGGTGGGGACAGAGAAGGAGAGGGCAGCTGGTGGGTCCCTGGCTTCTGGCTGGGCTGATCCAGGAGGTTTCTTCTTGGGAGACCCGTTGTATCTGGGTTGGAGGAGACTAGAGCAGGCCTCTTAGCTGTCCCCACATACCCTAACCCCATAGGAAATGCCAGTTCAGCTAGGAGGGGCCCCCTGGCTTCACCACACACACACCCCTACACTTCCCCAGGCAGGCTGCCCAGGCCAGGATGTGGATGGGAACTGTCAACAGACACTCTTTAAATATTTACCCACACTTTCTCTGGGGGGCTTCCCCCATCCCCAAGACTGGGTAAATTCAAGTTAATTCTAATGGATAAAGGAACCTTATTCCATCAGCACCCTTTCCTGGCCATAAGCATGTACAATTATGTGGACTTCACCCAGACAGAGAGAAAAGGAGAAAGTCTGAGAGCTGTGGATATGTGCGCTGTGTGCAGGTGAATGAAGAAGAGCAATAAGAATGATTTTTCCGGTCCTCCCCCCTCCACAGTGTGTGAGGTTCTCATACACAGGGCAACGTGGGGCCATACTCGGGATCCACACGTACTATATGTGCTACCTTCCATTCTGAAAAACATCAAATGCATGCTCACTCAGCTATCACGCATGCCAGGAAGCACCCCTGTCACCTCACAGACACTGTGCACACACACGCACATCCGGGCACATATGAAAATAAGACCTGATCAACACACATGCAGCTTTAGCCCTTTGCATCATGAAAAAAAATTGCTACCTGTTTTCCTTCCACATCCTGGGGTTTCAGGGCTGGATGAGGTAGGAGGCGGTTAGAAAACCAGATCTTTTTCTTCCCCATCCAGAGCCCAGCTCTGGGGATGGAGGAAGAAATGAAAGTGCAGGGGAGGATGGTGTAGAGAGAATGAGCTTCCCCCTTTTGTATCTAAATAATTGCTGAGGAAATGGCCACTCTCAGCCAAATTCCCAAAGGACAGTCACTGGTGGCCCAGCAAGAGACGCTTCCAGGATCCCCTGAATTTGGAAGAACCTACCCCCGTCTGACTTAGGGACCGCCCAAACTCTGTGACACCCAGAACTCTGGCCCTGGAGCAGCAGGAGGGGAGGGTCAGCGGAGGGCCGTGCCAGGGCTGCAGGCCTCCCCAGGGTCCAGGGCAGTAGAGGGCATGACAGAGGTCTCCTCCACTACCAGAGCACTCCGCAGCCTTGGTTCTGGCCCTGCCTTTTCTGAGCCTGTTCTGTGGCTACTGAGCTGAACGAGACAGACTCTGGGCTCCCAGCTTCTAGGTCACTGGGGACTGTCATAAATACTTTCTCCTCCCCTCCTGGAAAGAGGAGGCTGGGCAGGCCGGATCCGCTCTGGGGCCTGCGCCTTATCTTTTAGGGGCTGGGAGGATATCTCGACACTTTATGGTCCAGCGAAAACCCTGCCACAGAGCTAGTCTTCCGGGCCTTTGTGTCCTGGAATGCGACTGTCCCGAGTGTGCTGCCAGCACCGTCTGCTCCGAGAGCCCACCAGTCCCGAAATCCCTGGTTGGACTTGGTTTCCCCTTTCGGGATGGAGCGGGGGGCGTCCCTCGCCTTTTCTTTCTTTCGTTCATTTGATTGTTTTTTTTCTTTTACACGTATCTGGTTGATTTCGCTCCGGGAGCCTGGAAATAAAGGAACCGCAAGCAGCCATCCTTGCTGGGGCGTCTCTGTCCCTCGACCCCCATCCTTGCTGGGGCGTCTCTGTCCCTCGCCCCGAGGCCTGCACCGCCCTCCTAGGTACCACGGATTTATGTTCGTTTGTCCGGGTCATTCTGCCTTTTCGTGTTAATTACGCGCTGCCTGCTTCGTGCTTATCTCCTCCGCAAAGCGATTATTTTCGGCGCCCGCCCTCCTGAGATTCCCGAGTCTGCTGCCAGAGCGAGGGCCCACCTCCCGCCGCCACTCTCGATTTATTTACACCTCACAGGTGAGAGGATTGATTTGCTCAGAGCCAGAGAGGCCGGGCTGGGCCGGGGCGCCGGGCCTTCTCGTCGCTGCTCCTCGGGGCCGGGCCTCAAACGTCAGTGCGGCCAGGCCGGCCGGGGGCACCGCCGCCGCCTCTAACATTGAGCAACAGCGCCACCTCGCGTCCACTTACTCCAATGCAGTCCAGCCGGGAAAAAGCCAACAGCTTAGAGCAAGCAGGTCCTCAGGCTTGACCCAAAGGTGGGAGGTGGGAGGAAGGAGTTTCCAAATGGGTGCGCGTGAGAGGGGTCCCCGGAAGGGATTTCCCTCCGGACCGCTGCTCTTTTGTTTTCTAAATTCTCGAAATAAACCTTGTCAAAGGTTTCATACTATTTTCTCTTTCTGTCACCCTCCCTTCTCGCATTAAGAGACACTGTGCAAAGGAACTGCCGCGATTTCCCTCGCGTTCAGGCGCATTTCTGGCCTCGGAACACCTCCGCGCACGCAGATGCACGCGCCGAAGCTCCCGCGACCGCCCGCCCGCGGCGCGCACCCTAAACTCCTCGCTCCTCTTACCCTGCCGCTGGCTCCGCACCGCCTATTCCGCTGCCGCCTGCAGGACTTTGGGGTGGGATTCTGACTTCTCCTGGCTCTTTGCCCCCTGGTTTGTAGCCCATCCCTCTCTCTCACGCGCGCGCTCTCTCCACCTCTCCCTCCCAGCCAGTGAGGTCCTGTTCTCCGTGGACCATAGACAAAACATTCCTATAATCCGATTTCAAAGGAAAGAGTGTCCACCTTATTTAAACCATAAAACAATTAAGCCCAGACGTCTAGCCAGCTCCGCGCTGCTGTTTTGTTCGGCCCCATTCAGAATCCAGCGCAGGGAGACAAACAGCGCCATAAAAGAGGCATTTCGGGGCCGCGGAAATGTACCTATCCTCTGCCTTCCCAAGTGGAACAACATTTAGGGTTTTGTGATTCTGACAAAGGAGCAGAGGAGAGGTGGGAGGAGAAGATTAGGGCAGGGGGGCGTTTGCAAGCCCCTCTTTCCTCCCCAGCTTTCGTTTCTTTCCCCAGATGTGTGTTGTGTTGTTGTAGTTTGAGTTCACAAATGACAATAAATAAAACTAGAATCCAATCCTGACCTGCAGGCTGGAGGCCGAGCTGGTACTGAACAGTGGGCTGGACCGGGTGGGCCTGCTCTGGATCCCACGCTCTGCTCAGGGCCCTCCTTCCTGCCCGGAGCAAGGCCGGCTCAGGCGGGCCGCAGGAAGCAGGCCGCGCTGGCGGACGGACGAGGGGAGGCGACAGGGCCTTGGAGCAGGGGCCGGGTGGAGGCCCGGAAACGCCGCCGAGCTCGGGCCGGAGAGAAGCCTGAGTCCCGGCGGTCAGGACCGAGGGAGATGGGTGCCTTGTCCTCCGCCCGGTGCGGAACTGCGGCCAGGGTCCCAGAACAGTAAAATGGCCCAGAGGAGGAGCGAGGAAGCGAGAAAAGAGAGAAAACTACAGGCAAAGCACCTTCCAAAAGGACCGAGAAAACAATCGCTTCTGGAATTGGGGAGGTCTCTTCTTAAGCGGGGAAAACGAGAGGAAATATTATCAAAACAAAATGTTCACCTCTTCCCACCTTCCTCCAGCCCCCGAAATTGGAGTATTTAGTAGAAGGAGGGGGTAGGAGATTCAAATGATGGGGAAGGGGCTGGTCCCTACAAGTGCCTCACCAGTCCTGTAAGGTGATGCCATGGAGGGAGCTGCACAGGGACTGGGGTCCCCAATTATTTTCTTCTACGGTGGTATTCCCCAAGTATTCAGAGCAACACTCTGCACCCTCGCCAGAATGGGCAGCCCGAGATATTAAAGGGCTATATTTCAAGCAGTCTGAGTTTAATAGTTTCCAGATTGGGGGATTTCCGAGAATGGGGGCGCCGGGCCGAGTCATACCCGGCAGCTTGAGTCTGCTTCTGATTAGCAGATGAAAACTGCCGGTTCTGGGGAAGGCGCTCTGGGGTGCTACGCAGCCAACCAGCCCCATTGGGCTGTTACACACACATCCCCACATCCTTGCCCCTTGGGTCCCACAGCCACCAGAGAACACCCCACTCCTGGCTAATCCCTGACCAGCTTCTTTGGGCCCTAGCTGCGCCATCTCCCAGAAATGCTGCAGCCGCTCAGCATAACCCCGTCACCCCCAGATCAACATTCAAACTAAGCACCAGAGAGAGAGATTGATTAGAAAAGAGAGAACCAGGAGGTGGAGAGAGAGACGAGCTGAGAATACATTGAGAAGTAGAAACTAAATCTAATTCTGATTCTGGTTTTGCCATCTTTCTCCTTCCTCCCTGTCTCTCTTCCTTCCTTTTCTTTCTTTCCCTCTTTTTCTTTCTCTTTCCTCCCTCCCTTGCCTCTCTTCCTTTTTTCCTTCCTTCCTCCTTTTCTTCCCTCCCTACTCTCTCTCTGCATCTTCCTTCTTTCACTCTCAATGCCCAGTGCCTGTCCGGCTCCCTGAGGCCTGCTGGGCCTTCTTCCTCCTCACCATTCACCACACACCCTCCCTAGCACTGCTCCCCCCCTCCCCACAAGCCATCCCTCGAAGCACCGATGCAGCCGGGCAAGAATCCAGCCCGGGCCCTCACCCAGCACCCAACTTTCATCTTTACCTCTCTCTTCTCTCCGATCTCATGTACTCATAAATTATTACAATTAATTACAGCCAGGGAAAACCATTCATGCTGTGCCCCCCACCCCCAGGGACTCCATCGAGCTACCAGGAGACTCACAGGCAGCCAGCCTGGGCAGGCACAACTGGACCCGGGCCTCGGCAGCCTCCGCTGCACCCTGGGAGCCCTCAGCCCCATCACACCCTGCCTGGAGAAGCGGCTGGGGACTTGCCCTTCCGAAGCAGAGGGAGCCCCTTGCCTGGCTCCCGCCTCCCCGAAAGGATCTAAGCACTTGCTTCCTCCACGCCAGAAAGCCTGAGAGCCACAGGGAGGAGAAATAACGAGAACTGGATACGGTTGGGTTTCTGGTTTTTTAAGTGACTTCGATATATTAACACAGAGCTGTTCTACCACAACAAACAGAAGCACGTTACAGGACGGACTCTGGGGATGAGTTGACACTGCTATGTACACGCCAGAGGCGCTGGCCTGAGCCGCCGGACCCAGCCTGCGGCATGGTCCCCGGCCCTCGCCCCTCAGCTCCTGGGCTGGGAAGCGTTCTTGTGTATATGTGTGTGTCTTTTTTTTTTGTTTGTTTGTACAAAATCTGCACTCAGAGCACCCCAGGCCTGGGGAAGGATGGCCCGGACCAAATACAACACAGGAGAAAAAAAAATAGAAATATAGCGATTCAAGTATTGGCTTCTCTGAAGAAAGGAGGAAAAAAATCACATTTGTGTGTGTCATTTATTTCAGTTGCGCTGGGAGAAGAGAACGCGGTTTCTCTCCCGGCCTCCTCCTCCTTGCTGGGTAGAACTAACTAAAACACCAATTTCTCAACACTGAACCCTCCCAAATCTCGCAAGAGTTTTCCTTCTCCCTTTCCCTTTTTTTCCTTTTTAAGCCGATTGGCTTTTCTCTATCTTGCTCATTCCTTTTCTTTTTCGTGCTGTCTCCCGCCTGCGTCGGGGTATTTTTGTGGGTTTTTTGTTTTTCCCTTGGCTGTGCCGAGGCAGCAGGCTGCGGCAGGGTTTAGGATTGCTCCTTGTCGGTTTTTTCTTTATTCATCTTTTTCATCTTCATTCTCCGGTTCTGAAACCAGATTTTGACCTGCCGCTCGGTGAGGTTGAGAACCCGGGCCACCTCGTACCGACGGTCCCTGGTTAAATACATATTGAAGAGAAACTCCTTCTCCAGTTCCAGCGTCTGATACTTGGTGTAGGGGCAGCGCTTCTTCCTTGTGGAGCGGGCGTGAATCCAGTTGGCCACGGGGTTGCCTGGAGGGCCAAACACAGGCAGGGGTCAGTGGAGCCCCTTTCCAGTCCAGGACGCCTGGCACCACCCCCCCAGCCTCAGCCAGGCTCCCCAAACCCAATAATTGAACCTGAATTTGGACACATTTTACTTGAGGAATTTCCCCCCTTACTCCTTTTGCGTTCTCCCCCCTCCTCATCTTCCCCCTCCTCGGTTTCCAGCACCTAAAACGATAGGAAATCGAAGCTATCAAAGCCTCTACAGTCTGGTCCTCAGCTTCAAGAGTAGTAATTCGAGAATATCCCCATAAAAAGTCCAAATTCCCAACCGTTTCATAGGCCCATAAACGCTTCTCTCTCTTGTTTTTTATTTTTATAGCGAGGTTTCTCTCCTCCCCACTTCCCTCCTCCTCTGCCCCCTCCCATCCTCCCAGCCCACGACGAAGTCCTGAAATTTCAGCAGTTCTGCTTCCTGACCCTGAGAGTCCCCAAGCCCCTCACTACCCTCTCCAGCGCCCCATCTCCGCTCTCTCAGAATTCAACCCTGCTGAGGCGAATTCTCAGAGTGATGCTGGGATGGGAAAAGCCTTTCTCCTCTCCCCAGGGAGCTGCTGGCCTTGGGGACAGGCTCCCCTATATCTTAGCTTCCCTGTTTGGCTTCCAGTGCCCCCTCCTCCTGCCAGCCCCAGGACAGGCTCTGCAGGAGCCAAGCCTCCAATTTCAGGTTTATGGGAGTAGCTGAGGGCAAGGAGGGAAGCCTTCAGAGGGGTATAATTAGGCCCTGGCCCCTTATGGGGCTGCAGGAAAGGATTTCCTGCAACCCCCTCCTGGGACTCCCCCAGACACTTCCTCACACCCAGGGGTTGCACCCCTTCCCCTGCTGTTTCCCCTTCTTTCCTCTTTCTCTGGACCTGCAGCTCTCACCTGTCCCCCCACCTCACCTCACCTCACCTCCCCCTGCCTTTCTTTGCAATACTCAGAAGGCTCCTGTTTCCCTGATTGGCGTGTGTGTGTGTGTGTGTGTGTGTGTGTGTGTGTGTGTGTGTGTGTGTGTTGTGTGTGTGTACAATCCTCTAATCGGGGGAGATACCGCTTCCCGCTCCCCACTCCTCCTCCCTGACCCCCATTCCCACCCCTCTCTCCTGCAGACACTCAGAAGAGGGCTCTCAAGTTTAAGGAGACTGGGACCCCACTTCTCTCCCCCAACTCTGGAAGTCCTGATCTCTCCAAGTTCCTAGGCTGGGAAAGCCCCCAGACCCCTCACCCAGCCTTCCTGGGGGAGAAGCCCATGGACCCTCTGTTTTATGCATCTCTAGTGGAGTGAGGACCCCTACACTGCCTGGGAGGTAAGGGGTGGCTTTTCTCCTTGGGGTTATTTCCTCTCTGCCCCCAGTGTCCTCCCCATCTCTCCCCCATCCCACTCCAAACCATAAAATGAACCTTGCCCCCACCCCATCCCCTGGCCCTGTCTGCATTTCTTCGAAAGTTGCGACTGAGCCAAAAAGCCTGGGCCGGGGGTGTGTGGGCGGGGGTCTCATCAAAGCCAGCTCCTGGGAGAGGAGCCCCCTTCAGCCTTCTCCCAACCTGGCTCCCTGGGCGCCCTTCTCAGACCTTCCTGCCCCTGAAAGCTCCCCAAGGTAATTCGCTTTTATTGAGTCCTCACCCCCTCGCCTTCGCCCCTCTCCCGCGCTCCCTGCGCCGCTCGGAGGGGCTGTAATCCGGCTCCCCCCGCCCGGCCTCCCCTCCCCTCCCGCGCGGGTTGTAAAGGAAAATTGCTCCCAACTTACTGGGGTCCAGGTCGGCCTTCTCCTCTTTGTGCTTGCTGCCGGCGAGGGCGTCCGCCTCGGGCGAGGGCAGGGTCTGCGGGGCGCGGTCGCGCAGTTCCCCGGGCGAGCCGTACATGTAGTCCGGGTAGCTGCGGCCGTCGCCCGGGCCGCAGTCCGCGCGGCGCCCGGGGTAGGCGTCCGGCTTGAGGGCGTAGTGACGACCCCCGGCCGGGAAGCTGGGGAAGGAGACGGCGCCGGACAGCGGCTCGAGCCAAGTCCGCATGTAGCGCGTGTCGGCGCCGAGGTGGGGCTGGGGGCCGTACGGGTGGTAGACCACGGACGACTGCGAGGGCACGGGCGCCCACGACGTGCTGAACACGGCCGGCTTGGGCGCGAAGCTACAGGACGGAAAATCGCTACAGTCCGGCACCAAACCGCTGGGTCTGGCGGCGGCGGGGTGAGCCCCCGTGGCCGGAAACCTGGACGCTAGGAGGTCTTCATTGTCGTGAGAGATGAGCGAGTCCACGTAATAGTTACTGATGGGCCCCGTCGCCGACATCGTAACAGGGTTTTACATACATAAGATTATTGTATGAACTGTATATGTACTTTTTATCTGCTCACAGAACAATCAAGGCAGGTAATTATTTTTCCAGCCTTTTCCCCGCAGCTCATTGGCTCCCCGGCCCCCACGTGATCGTATTTACCCAAAAATACGGCGCGGATCAATGCGCAGGGGCTTTTTTTCCTGGCTTTTTTTTTTTTTTTTTTAACCTTCTCCCACCCTCTTCTCTCTGCTGATCCCCGCGACCTGCGTTTTCCTGGGGGTTCGCAACTCTGGACCCAAGGACCCGGCCACTCCCTCAGGACAACTCGCATGTCAGCAGAGAAGCCCCTGGCTCGTGTCCACCCCTAAGCAGATGGCCTCCGCCCCCACCCCCGGGAGGATTCTTGATGGGGTGCAAGTGCCACTCCCCGAAGCCAGGGTTTCCGGACCCCCGGGGCCGAGCTGGGTGCGGGAGCCCCGCAGGGGCGGAGAGGCCGGCCGAGGTAGGTGGAGGAACTATTTCTTGACGTAATCCGTCTCTGTCGGCCCCGACGCTCCCGCAGTCTCTGCGCAAGCCGAGATCAGCGATTGTCAGTTCCGAACGTGGCTTTTAAAAATACGTTTTTAAACAGTGTGTATGTATGTATTTCTTTCAGGAGCAGCAGCAGCGAGGGAGGGAGAGTGGGAGGGGACTGGGGAAGCTGGGGTGGAGGGAGGGAAGGAGGGGAAGGGGAGCGTCCTTCTGCCACTGGCCAACTCAGCCCCCCAAATTTGGGGCAGAGGAAGCTTGGGGAAGGTGGTCCGCGGGTGGGAGGGGTAGGACCTCGGGACCTCGTACACCTTTGTCACCAGAAGTCCTCGCTTGGCTTTGGCACAGATATGCAAACGCCTTTATTTTAAATTTATTGTCTGTATCTATTTATCTTTCTTTGCCGGCCTGAAGAAGTGGAGGAGAGACCTACACAACTTCAGTGGGGTATCCCCATCCCGTCTTCCTGCTCGCCCTCCTTTGCCCCCAACCCCACCTCTGAGACATCCTGCCCTCCCCCGCCCCCCAAAAAGAAGTCACTCCAGGGCTCTGTCTGCAGAGAGCCAGGGTGAGAGCGGGCAAGGCGAGAGAGTGACCTCGGTCGTGGGCAAGTAGCTTGTTTTTACGTCCTTCAATAAAAATTTTATGAGGATCATTTGATTGTTCATAAATGTGTCTTTCATTAAATAAAATTGTAGGCTGTTTTTGGAACGGGAAAAAAGCTACAGAGGAATGGGAGAAAGCAATTTCTTTGGAGTCAGACACAGGAATTCTGGAGGGGTAGTGTGATTGTAGGGAAGATCACACAACTTGGATTCCTCCCCCCAATAAGTTGGTCGCTACCCTCCTCCTTGAATCTGGGGTTCATTGCCCAGCCCTCTGCGTTCCATCACACTGTCCCATGGTGGTTTAGCAAAAGTGGGCTTTAGGCAAGCAGGAAATTCTCAGTGTGGGTGCAAGAGAGGGGGCAGGGAAGTTGGCTGGGGGCGGGGGAGAAGAGCAGGTGATGTCCCCAGAGACAGATGTACCCTAGGCAGGGCAGAGTGAGTTTGAAGGAGGGGTACAATTTCAGGGTCAGCAGGGAAGAGTCCAGTTTGCGCTAGGGGAAACAGGCAGGAGCTGAGGCTAAGACACAGGCTCTGAGGCAGCAGGGAAGGATGAGTTTTCCCAGATCCGAGACGCCTGCCCTTCTTTCCCCTCTTGTCCCCAGGAAGGGACCAAATGCCAGGGGTGGGGGGCAGAGGCTGCTTCCCCCCCACCGCACATCTCTGTCGACCTGTCTCCTCTGGGGAGGAGAAGGGCTAGAGAGAGGTGTCCCAGAGAGTGTAATATGTGTGTTTGGGGTGGGGGGAAGTTGAGGGGGAAGGATAGATCTGCAGCTCGAAGCACTGACCCCAGCCTGCCAGGCCCCCTCCCCAGTCCCTACTTACCCCCCCACCACCACCCCGGTTATGTCCTTTTCGGTCTAGCAGGGCTGGGATTTCGACGCATGGGGGGCGTGTGACGTGAGAAATACCCGGCTGGGGAGAGATGACCCAGGACCTCAGCCACTTTACCCTCGGCTCTGATTATGCTCTCCTGCCCCGGCCTGGACTGGTCTGGGAAATCCAAATTACACCAAGAAACAGCATACCTCTTTGGCCTTGATGGAGTCGGGTTAGCTGTCAATCAAAAATTCTCCCTCACTAGTTCAAGGAACAGACAGGAGATTCCCGTTCCCCTGCCGAGGCTTCCTCCAGATCCCCAGCGCCATCAGCACCTCCCCCAGCCCAGGCGGCTGGGGACCCTGCCTGGCTCTGGGGTGACTGCTGGCAATGCTGAGCAGAGCTGTGTAGCCGTCAGAGGGCCTGGGGCCAGACTGCGACCAAGGGGACATCAGAGGACAGAGCCCGAGACAGCCTGAGACAACAAGATTGAAGCCCGGCGCCAGGCCCATAGAGAGGAAGGGAGGAAGGAAGGAGGGAAGGAAAAAAGAAAACGGATTAGGATAAAAGAAAGAAAGAGGGGAGAATTACAGAAAAGAGGGGAGGCAGGATGAAAAGAGGGGGAGAGCAGGGAAAGGAAGGCGTGCAGAGAGCGAGCCGGAGGAAGGGCGGTGACAGGAAGGCAGGACGGGGTAGGGCGCGGGCTGGCCGAGCAGCCGTGGCATTGTGCAGCCCGCTGGCTGGCCGGGCCTTTGCCGCGGGACCCGCTCCAGGCGCGGCGGCCACTTCTGCCTGGACACAAAGGAGGAAGAGGCCTTCTCTCCTGCCTCTCCCGGGCGACCTGCTGAGGTGGGTACACCAGGCCTCTGGGATATAGAACCCTATCTCGGCCCAGGCAGCCGCCCGGGCAGCTGGGAGCTGAGCCACGGACTCGTCAAGGAGCAAAGAAGACATGAGGAAGGAGAAGGTTTCACACCCGCTCCTCCTCTGCGTCTTCACCAGGGAACAGAGCCCATCTGTCCCAACCTCAGTCTTCTTAGAAGAAAGATGCCCCTACAGCCCCTCTCCTGTGGGCCTCTACTATGTGGGAGAGACCCCAGACGTACTGGCTGTAAACAGATGCCCCTTTCTCTGCTACCCACTTCGGTCACCGCCTTCTTTTCAGCTCCTGAGCAGCCTGCCCACCCAGCAGAGGCAGCAGCGGTGGGGCAGCCTGGATCAGCAGGCCCACGTACTCTGCTGCCGTCAAATTCCCTGTCAAACTGAGGGGAGATTGTCGCCTGCATTTCGGAGAGTGAACTCAGACCCTCCTCACTCAGGCACAGACACAGCTGTGGATCAGGAAGCAGGCCTCGCCCACAGCCCCCTCCCCACCAATGCCCCATTTTGCCTAGGCCTTGCTGAGAGAGGCAGCCAGGAGGAGGGGGGCTGGAAGAGGCTGGGAGTCCCTGAGTTCACCAGGCCGAGGTTCTTCGGGTTCCACAACTGCATGTGGGTAGTGCCCCCTTCTCTGCATTTGGAGATGGGGTGTCAGGTCAGGGCTCCGAAGCAGAACTCCAGGCTCTCCCCAAACCCACGCTTGGAGGTGTCGGGGCACAAAGGATGTGGGATCGCCAAGCAGGAGGGGTTTGTCTTCCCAGGTTCAGTTACGCCTGCTGAATCTCCTGCCGGTTCCCAGCCTCCCTCTCACCCACACCACTCCCTTCAATTTTCCTCATCACCGATGGGGAACCCAAGGGACCGGAGGCCACTGGAAGTCCCTGTTGGGGACGGGCGGGGGCCCCCAGCTTTAGCTAGCAGTTGTGCATCCACTCTAGTTCTTAGAGCTCTCTTCTGACCCCAGAAGACGGCACTGGGCACAGGAGAGGCCCCTCAGGGGGCGGAGCACCCTTACTGCATCACCTCAGACCTGGACAGCTGGGACCACAATCAAGCTAGCACCACCGTGGGAAGGACAGACAGACAGAAAGACAGGCAGGTTAGCCTCATCCCCTCCCCTTGCCCTGCACCTCCCTTTTAGTGATTTAAATTCCCTCTGGTTCAATCCACACCGCCAAGTTCGGATTAAATTTAAAACAGGCTTTTCCCGGTCCCCCAGCGGGTCATCCCCGAGCCCGAAGGCAGGGCGCCCGCTCCCGGCTCGTCAGTGCGGAGGAGGCTGTGTGGACTCCATTTGCTTTCATTTTCCTTCTCCCCCTGAAATGGGCTCAGTTCACCTCTCCGGAGGCTGCCCTCTCCTCCTCCCCGCCCCCTCCTTGGTTCCCCTCTACTTTCCCCCCTTTTCTCTCCTGATCCCTCTTTGTTGGGAAAAACACACCCACACACACAACTCCTCCTAGCTCAGGCCTGCGCTGGAAGCAGAAACTGAATTCTCCTGGCCTGCGGCGAGGAGACCAGCGTCCTGCACCCACCCCAGGTGGGTACCCGGGATCCCTACACACTAGGAGTCCAGCCGCTAAACCCAGCAGGAGTGAAACCCCCAGGGGCTGTGAACGTGGCCCTCTCAACGCCACGGCCTACATTCCCACCGGCCCCCTGCCCAGCCGCCCCACAGCAAACGGGGCTATTTCCAGCTCCCCCAGCCTGGTCCGGTTTCCCCGCCTGGGGAGTGGCTGGAGGGGGAGCGGCCCCAGAGCTAGGGGTGCTCTGCGCTTGGAGCCCCCGTGGCCTTGGGCGCCTGGTTACCTGATCTTTGTGGGACGTGTGTGTCGCAAGGAAATTTGCAGTGACTTTGGAGCCCAGACTGAGGAAGCCGAGGTGGCGAAAGGAGAGACAATAACGGTCCGAAGTACAATTAAGGGGCCAGAGCCGCTAGTCTCTCCCCCGCCTTCCCTGCCAGGCTAGGAGCTGTCTGGCCTCAAACCTCAGGGCAAGCCGCGAACCTGGAGCCGGAAACTCAGCCCACGGTGGAGGGAACCAGAGGATCCGGCAGCCAGAAAGCAGGAGGAACGCTCCCTCCAACTTGGGCGCGCACCAAGCAGCTCCGCTGAGTTGCAGAGAATCCAGTGAATGAAAGTGTACATTCCGACGAATTTGCCCGATTTTTTCCAGCCTTTGGAAGGACAGCCTAGGGTTTGGGACGTCTCAGACGGACGGACAGACAGGCAGCCAGGCAAACCGCATCTCCGGAGGCAGACAGACTCACAACATGAGTGTGAGCCTGAAATCAAATACAGGTTCAACATTTCCCAGGCCTCTGTGCCAGGCCGGGTGAGCGCCGATCTCCCTACCTTCTCTCCCCTCCAGGGTGTTGGGCAGAGACCCGGAAGCCTCGGTCCCTCTGGCTTGGTCCAATCCCGCCTCGGGAAGCGCCTTCGTTACCTGCTCCTCGGCTCCCCACGGCCACAGATGCAGGGAAGCCGCCTCCGCCGGGGGAGGGAAGCCCCGGCCACCGCAGCCGCCGCTGCCCGCCCTTCTTCCCTCCCTCCCTCTTCCTCGCCCTCCCTCCCTCTCTCCCTCCCTCGTGCTCTGCCGCTCGCGGGGCCCTCCCGCGGGCAACCTGTTCTGGACCAAATCCAGGTAGCTCCGAAAGAGACAAAAAAGAAAGGACCTCTTACGTGGAAAGGAAAGAAAGAAAGACCTTTAACTGCATTTATTTTTCACGCTCTGACCCTTGGTGGGCCTCAGTTCAGACGTCCTGGGCCCGGCCCTGCAGCTGCAGAGGTGTGCGGGGCCTGCCGCCTCGCCCACGCTGGCCGCCGCGCCCCGGGCGCTGTGCGCTGCACACTCTGGGCCGCCGCCCCCGCAGCCCAAACACCAAACAGACCTCAAGGTCCTTACTACAGACTCAACCTCCGGTTGCCCGCCTCGCCGCTGGCCTCTGCCCAGGAGCCCGCTCCGCTCCGTCTGCGGCCAAAGTTCACACACAATCCACCTTGTTCGTGCTCTCGCGCCCGGCCGGACACCCTTCCTAGCCAAGGCGCCCACTGGCCACCCTCGGGCCGCGGCCTTGCCCGGGGCTGCAAACCTCCTCCCCTGCACGGGACCCACACAAAGCCCAGTGTCCTGACGCTCCCACCTGCAGCCCCCTGTCCCTGGCCCCGCTGCCCTTCACCTGTTCCCAAGAAGGGCTGCATCTCCGAGCGAGCTGAGGCAGGCCGGTGGGCCCGGGCGGAGGGTGCTGGGGAGCCGAGGTCCCAGGGAGGCCACAGAGGCTCGGCCGGCTAAGCCGGAGCCCCCGCAGGCAGGCGAGAGATCTCAGAGACCAAGGCTCTCCTTGGCGAGCTCTTGCCTTTTCCTCCTTCTCCTGCAAGTCTTAAACACTCCGAGAGTTCAGCTCTATAAATCCTGCTCCTCTTTCCCATATCATAATTAAAAAAAAACAGTAGGGGAGGTTTTAACTTTTATTGCGATTTCTGGAGTTGGGCTGCGGAGCATATATTAAGTTTACGCTTATGCACTCTCGGCGGGGAGGGTCCTTTAAGAAATAAAAATCCATCTTAATATCCACAGACGAGAGATAATTTTTTCCCTCCTCTTCACGCTGTTTCTTTTGAAGACTCCCTTCCAGCGAAGAGAATAAATAACCACCATTGCCTTAGCCACGATCCATGGCCCCAGGGCCCCTTGGTGGACTCTGGCCATCAGACTGGCCCTCACCTTGCCCTGTGACAATGTACCCCATTCCCCAGGATACGGGGGGGCCACCCACCCCATAAGCCCACCAGCTCTGAAACAGATATTGGGGCAGAGAGACCCAAAGCACAGAAGTCGTTCATTGGTGAATTTCGGCCCATCAGGGATGCCGTCTCCAAGCCAGGCCCTCCTGAGCACCCAGCCCCTGCCTGGGACTCCCTTCACTCCAGCTGGCCCCGGGCTTCTGACAGCCTGAAAACTCAGAGACTGCTAGGGGCTCCCAAACTGGGGAAGCCCTTGCCTGCCTTGTACCAGGTGGCCTTCCTCTCTGAAAACCTCCCCATTTCCCCGGGAGCCATAGGGCGATTTGAGCACTTCCTTCCAAGGGAAGAGATTTTTTTCCCCTACCAAGGGCTGGGGGACAGACAGAAAGACTGACAGTTTCAGCTGGGGAGAAGGAAGGCCCTATTCCCATTTTCTCCTCTAGTCTCCATTGGGTCTCTTCGTACACGAGAGAGAGAAAGATACACGAGTGTGCACAAAAATATATACAGGGGACCTGAGAGAGCCTGGAGGAGATAGAGATACAGAAACAGAGACCCACACTCATCCAAGGTTACGTATAAGCCCTCAGCAGGCAACTGCGTGAATACAGAACTCCATGCATATACTGTGTTCCGGGGACATGATTTTGTTCCCTTGTCTGAAAGTCTATAATGTTTTAATAATCATAGTAATTCCAAAGTAAGAGAACCGAGAACCTGGCTTTCTCTTTCCCAGTCTCTCTGGGAACGGGGGTGTACCTCCGCCTTCTCCCTGGTCCTCCCCAGTTTTCTCTGCAGGCAGCGAAACCTCGCTGGGGAGCCCTCTCTCTAGTAACCAGGACCAGAATTGAGCAACCAGAGGGGCCGAGGAGGGGAAGAAGCTTTGCAAAGTTGCACACTGCTTGGATTCTCCCTAACCCAGACCCTCCCCTCCTCCCCCTGGCATCAGCCGACAACCTCCCCAGCAATATGGTAATGGTGGGCGCTGGCAGCCTCCAGACATTTCCACACAGCGCAAAGACGAGCAACTGCCTGACAGGCACAGACACAACACACCAAGGCCTACGGGCAACAGACAGCTAGAAAGAGACCAGAGCCAGATTCCTGCCCTGATGTTTCCCAGTAGGGTAGGTGTGGGGGGGTTCTACTTGGACTGGATGGCTTTCCTCCAGCCTACTAGCACCCTAAATGTGCCCTTCTCCTGGCGACGGAGATATAGAAGGGGAAGGCGAGGTGGCTGAGCTGCTGATCAGAGTTCCCCAACTCTTAGGACCCCAGGCACCCCACTTTTCTAAGGAGAAGCTCCAGCCCCAGCCGACTGGAGGCAGATTTTTTTCCTTGGAGGTGGAAGGTAGGAGAAGCTAACTCTTCCAGAGACCCCTTTCTCTTTCTGTGGTCTTTTCTATTTTAATCGTCCTGCCCCACCCTGCTACCCAACTGAGCTGGCCCGCCAGGCCACCTCTTACTCAAATTCCTGAATTTCCTTGGAATTGGTTAGACCTTCTTTGTCTGTCTCCATCAGCTGGGCCCAGGAAACAATAGCTGCAGGAAGAACTCCTCTCCCTCAATCACGGGGATGGGGACAGGCTGAGGAGTGGAAAGGATAAAGCGGGATTCTCCAGACTCGTGGTGTAGCCCCACTCACAGCTAGCCCGCCTCAGCCTGTACCCACTTTGCCTTATCTAGGAGGGGGGCTGGGGGCAGTCCCACTGGGGAGGGTAGGAGCGGGATAGGTGGGTTGGGGCCCTCGACGATAACCGACTGATGTAACTCAGGCAGTTTCTTGTTGCCGAGTTCAAAACTCAATCCCAACAACATGAAACTACCTAAGCCACAGATCAGCTGAGCGAACAGGGCGGGAGATTCAGCTCTGCATCTATCAGGAGAAGGGAAGGGGGTTGGGGAAGGAAGAAATTCAGCCCCATCCCCCTTTCCGCCCTCACGACCTCCCTAAGGACGAGAGAGTAGACTTTGGGTGGCTGGGTGGGTAGGGGATCTGACTGCCTCATCAGCTGCTAGTCTAAACAAATCGCTCAGAGAGACTCTGGTGAAATGGGACCTCCAGCTGCCAAACCCCCGCCCCGCCCCCAGCACCGCAGCGGAGCTACCCCCCTGCCTCTGGCCCTGGCCCTGGGGGAAGCTGGAGTGTCCTTCCACTCTCCAGCTGGGTCCCCTGTCTTGCCCTTCTGGCTCTCCTGTGCTCTCCTCCTAGATTCCCTCTGATCTTCTCCGTCTCTCAGCTGGACTCCGGCTTCCCTTCGTCTATGTGTGGCCGAACCACTCCAGAGCCTCTTCCGATCAGGCCACTTGCCTGGCAAAGCCCCACGGCCGGGCAGAGTGGGGACCGAGAGCCTGGCTAAGGCTCACATCCAAACCAGCAGAAAGCAGGAAGACCTAAGCTTCAAGCTCCAACACTCTCTAGCCCATCCTCCCTCCGCTTCCCCCAGCAGACGGCCAGAATGAGAGACGTCTAGACCCATGTGTCGAACTCAAGGAGACCCTAAGTGACGGAGTAAAGAAAGAAGCCCAAAACCACCAATTTACCCCTTTGACCGCCGAACCCCACGGCAACGGGGCTGGGGACGGGGAGCTCACGGCCACTGCCCTCCACCGCGAGCCGCCACAAGGCAAGCCTGGGCTCTCAGCAAGCGCGGAAGCACGAAACACCTTCCACCCTGCTCTGCCCACTGCGCGCTGGGCACCTGGGGACGCCGCTCTTCCCCACTCCAGCGCCAAGAGAAGAACAAGAAACCGCTTCTCTTACCTTGTCGCTGCCTCGTCGTCGTCCTCCTCCTCTTGCCGCTGCCCGTGCTTCTGCTGCTGCTGTCGAGGGGGGGGGTGGCTGAGCTCCTTGCCCCCCTCCGGCGGTTAAGTTTATTCCTTTCCTCGGATAGGTGGGGGGCTCTTGGGGTTCCCCCGAGCAGCGGTGGGGTGCGCCTGGCCCAGCACCCCAGGCAATCAGATCCGTCTGCTCCTCAAGATTGCAGTTTGCTCTCTGCCTCTTTCCCTCCTCCAGTCACCTTTAAATGCATCTTTTACTGCAGTACCACATTATATTTGCAGATCATAAAATCCACCTCTCGCGCGCACCAAGACCGTCCTGACATTACTGTTTTATGACCTTGACTTATTGTGGTCACCTGGATAATATTTAAATCAACGTTATGGTCTCTCACTTACATTAAACCCGCCAAGAGACGTTCTAGAAAGGCTCTAGGAGATGAGTCAAACACAAAACACACACATCCACACACTCAGCCTCTTTGGGGGGAGGGTGTTGCTAAAAAAAAACACTAAAAACAGAAAACCACCCATTTGAGGATCATGATTCTGGAAATTTATTAGGATTTTTTTCTCCATTAAGGAAGCTACATGCAAGATACAACGTACAGAATATCTTTAAATAACACAACCCCCAGACAGGGACAGGGCGATATTTGGGGGAGGGGCACTCTGTCTTTGCTTCACTATGTTCTATTTTAAATTAAAAAAATTTTTTTTGCTCCTCTGGATGGAATTTCTGAGATGGCAGTGCATGGGGGATGTGGGGGTGCTGGGAGAATGGGAGAAAAGCAGAAGGCAGTACAAATACGAGACTTCAAGCAGATTCTCAGAACGATTGGGAGGTGAAGACACAGAGAGGGTTTGGTGCAGGCGCTGGACGCTACGACAAACACACAAACACTAGCCGAACTTTCCAAAAACGTCTATTATTCTAAGGAGGAAATGCAGCAAGGAAGGAGCGATTCTGACTGTGCTCTTCGAGATTACAGACCTTCTCTGGTTGATTTTTTCCCCTCTTTTTCCCCCTCTAATCGGGTGGATTCGACCTTAACTTTGCCTGGAGAACGGGATGCTATGTGTGAGTGCGTGGGTGAGTGAGGGGTTGACACACACACCAGCCACACTCCCACCCTCGTCTATGCGGGCACACCACACCCCACAACCCAGCACCCCATTTCTCATGCTTTAGGTGGACACATCTTCGCAGCAAGAACCATAGGTCCCTTGAAAGGAGTGTCTGAGGTCTTTGCCTTTTTTGCAGGCGTGTTGCATTTATACTCAGGGAGGAAAAAAAATATATACCACCAGGCACAAAGGGAGGAGGGGCGGGGAAAGGAGGGAACGGGGGGAAGAGGGTGAGTGGGAGGGGAGCCCCCTCGCTCAGGTGAAATTAAAATTGGAGGTCAGTTCCCGGATTCGATTCTCTCGGTTCATTTTCTTGAGTTTCATTCTGCGATTTTGAAACCAGATTTTGACTTGTCTGTCTGTAAGGTTAATGGTCTTGCTAATCTCCAGGCGGCGCTCTCGTGTCAAATACATATTGAACAGAAATTCTTTCTCCAATTCCAGCGTCTGGTGTTTAGTATAGGGACACCTCTTCTTCCTTCCGCTCTTTGCTGTCAGCCAATTTCCTGTGGTGTTTTCTGCCTTTATCTCCTCTGTTAAAAATAACATTATTTACATAAGTATCCCTCGAAGAGGCAACCCTCGCAGCACTGCAGCCTTGGCCAGCTTGCAGTGGGGGCAGCTGAGGGAGCACAGGGGAGCTGTTCTCGCCCCACAGGCCTGGCTGGTGGGGTCCTCCTGGCCTCAAGGCTCTTAGAATTTCTTTGGGGTCTAGACTTACAGGGGAGAAAGACAGAAAGTACTTGCCTCCAACGCGTCTATTAAATTTAATCACCCAATCCACCTTGACCTAGCATGTTCTGAGAACTCCTGCTCTCCCTCGGCTTGCTGACCCTGGTGTGCACTCTAAGCCTCCCCAGACCCCGCCTCCTCTCTGTTCCTTTCCAGCTCTGTAAAAATCCAACCAGAAGGAAAAAGTGTTTTCCAGGCCTCAGACCCGGTGGCAGAGGCCACCTCGCTGCCCAGAGCAATTTCCAGAGAGCTTTGACCCCTTTCAACACAGTGGAGGGATGTCGCCCCAGACTCTGCAGCCAGAGGCCATTGCAGCCGTCTCTGCACCAGATCCCCAGCCCTGGCTCCCACCTGAAGCGTCACAGAGTGACTCTACCCCATTGGATCTCCCATTGCCAGCTTTTCCTATCCCGGCCATTTCCCCCAGGAGTAACTGAGGCAGGGAGCTTGTGCAGGCAGCGGAGGTCAGGGGCAACAGCTATGGGGCATGCTGAGGAGTCCTCAGTCAACTGCCCTGGCCAGAGACCTAAGGTCAAGGGAGAGAGATCCTGAGGAAATGCAGCCTCCTGGAAATCTCCTGCCTAGTCTATGTAGGTACGTATGCATGCATGTTCATATGTATTTCTGCAGAGATACACACTCCTATACATATGTACACACACAGGGATATATACCCATTTGTCTATTTATATCAGGAGATGCTATAAGTGTGGTGTGTATTTCCCTTTCCCTTATCTACAGCTTCTCCCCCCCGCCCCCCGCACAAATTCTTGCTGAAATGAACCAGCCTTGCTCCTCAAGCAGCAGAAGAGACCTTGGCCATCTTTTCTAGGGAAAAACTCAGAGTCCAGAGACCCGAGAGGGACACCCAGAAAAGGACTCTGCTGATGGCTCTGTGCTCTATCTCCCCTTCTATGCCAATGAAACTGCCAGGTTCCTGGATCTTAGCTTGATGGGGAGTGGGGTGGGGGCCCTAGGGGAACCAGGAGTCATCAGAAAATGCAAACTTGAGGCTGCAGTTTTAAACACTTTAATGTCCTTAATTCTGTTCCCACCTCTGCACCTGCAGCCTTCTGCCAAATTGTTTAAAGGCTCTCCACATCTAACTCTGTGCCATTTATTTTTTATTGGGGTTGTTGGGGTCTGGGGGAAGGGGAGAAATTACAAGTGGGGAGTCCGGCCCAAAGCCCTCTTGCCTCTGGCCTGGTGGGGGCACCAAAATGAGGGGGGCAGGCAAAAAGGGAGCAGGCAGAGTCAGAGGGATTAGTTGGGGTGGGAGGGTTTAGATGGTATGGGGATGGCAGGGGAGAAAGGGGACCCTACCAGAATGGGGGCAGTTTGAGCTAGGAGGTAGGCTTGTTAAACTTGACTTTGCTTTTGGTGGGGCTAGAACGCAGCTTTTCCTACCCTAAATCTGCACCCCAACCAAGCTCGGGGTATGGGGAGATGGTATAAAATTAAACTTTTGGGCTGCACACGTGCCACCAGTAAGGCTTCGTGGGTATGCGTGCCTCTCTCCCCCTCCCCCTCATGAACACACCCGTGCCCACCTTCTGGCTAGGGTCTCCATGGGCTGATTTGCCAAGGCCACCTTTGATTTGCAGAGGATACCCAAGAGGATGAGGGTCTGCCCTCACCCGCCAAAAGAGTGCGTGTGCATGTATGAGAGGGCATGCGTGAGTGTGTGTGAGTGTGACACAGGTCGCCTCCGGGCATACGTGTGGACCGCATCCATATACAAACCGCCATAAGACCCAGGCCGCCCCCAGTCTGCTCAGTTTTCACTGTTTCATCTGCCTCTGCACCCAAAGAGCCCTTCCTACACACAGCCTCCAGTAGCCAGTGCTGTGGGGAGCAGGTTTATCCCCTGCCCGCCCCACCAGTTGGGCCTTTTCTGATGCTTTTTGCTCCAACTTTTCAGGGTAAGTCCCCTCAGCCTCCCTCCACTGCTCCCGTTTCCTCCACATTTTCTCCAGGTGTCAGAGAAGGGTCCTGAGGGCCCCCAGTACCTGCAGCAGAAATGAATCTTGAACCCCGAGCTTGAACTCTGGCTAGGCTTTCCCTCGCCACCAAAATTACAATAAAATCCAACCAAAGCCTCACTCCCTTTCAGGAGAAAACCGCTTACCATGCACACAGAAATTTCCCAACCACTCATTTGTAAGCTGCTTTTGGAAACCAACGGGAAAATTTTTTTTAACGTAACTATAAAAAAAAGGAAACAAAATTTCAAAGCGGAGACAAAAAACCTACAACATTCCAAATGCCCTGTTCCAACGCCATACGCAGCCTGGGCGTCTGGGGGAGGGAGGGACGTGGAGGGCAGCCCTTCACCTCCACCTCTTCCGGCCCCAGCACCGCTGCCAGAGGCCCCCGGCCGAGCCAAAAACCGCAGGAGCCCAAGCCACACGCACAAATCAGACCCACAAACAACAAATCGCGCCTCGCAGGAAACAATTTTCAACTGGGAAAACGCAGTAAAGCGAAATCCCCCTTCTCCCAAGTCTTTCCTAGTCCCTGGCCCAAGATCGCCATTTTAAGCTTTTTGCATGCTTCTGACCTGAGCGGGGGTGGGGGTGGGGGGGTGGGGGAGTGGGGGGGGGCATCAGCCTCCCAGGACACGAACGCAGAGCAAGCAAACCAAAGCCAGCACGCGCCCGGGATCGGTCCCCCGCCCTGGGCAACACAAGACGCTGCAGGCTGCCCGCCGTGCGCACCACCCCGGCCTCGGCGCCCACGGCCGCTGCCGCCGGCACCTCCACTTCGCCGCTTACCTTCCCTAGCCAAATGAGGCGCCACCAGCCTGGCGCTCAGCAGGCACGAGTCCCAAGCCGGGGTCGCATTCCCAAGACCGTCCAGAGCCTCCTCGGCCCAACCCTCTCCCTGCCCCCGCCCCGGCCACGAAGACCAAGTGCCCGAGCCTCCCACCCGGGCCACGGCCCAGGCGGCCTTACCTTTCGCTTCGTTATCCGAGGTGTCTGGGCTGGAGTCGGCGGTTTTGGCCCGATCCTTTTCGCTCTCCAAGGGGCTGCCTTTTGGGCCCGCCAGGTTCTGCTCCGTCTTGATCTCATTGGGGCTGGGGGTCTGGCTGTCGGACTTGGGGGTCTCAGGGAAACTCACTTTACCCCGGAGCTGGGGAGACTCCAGATGTTCGGCGCGCGGGTTGAGACTGGCCCGCTGCTCGAAAGGGTTTTCGAAGTCGTTGGCCCCGGCACAGTGGGGCGGCTTGTCCAGCGCGGAGTAGCTCGGGCTGGCGCGGTAGTAGCTGGGCACCGGCACCTCGTGCTCCCCGAGGCAGGACTCCTGCAGGGGGTGGGAGTAGAGAGCTGCCTCGGGGCCACTTTTCGCCCGCTTCTCTGCGCTGTACATGCAACAGACATTCTCCTCCTTGACACTAGGTGGGTAGGAGCAGGAGGATAGCGGCCTGCCAACAGGTTGTTCCAGGCGGTAGGCGGCTTTGGGGTCGCCCCAGGAGTCCAGCTGCGAGAGGTAGGACGGGTAGGTGTTGAGGGCGAGGTTGGGGCTGCTGCCCTCGTCCCTCTTGGAGAGCGAGGGCGCGAGCCCGCAGCCCCTCATCACCCCGCAGTTGAAGTCACTCCCAGATTGCATATACATGCCTGCGCTCCGGCTATAGCGCTCTCCTCCGCCAGGCGCAACCAAGGGCTCCGCGTACGAGTTCGGAGTTACATTGCGAGGGCATGTCATTTTCAGAGAGAGGGGTTTTTAAGGAGCAATACTACTGCGGAGGAGCTGACATCTTTTTTTTTCCCCATCCGGGAGGGGGGGCGGTTGGAGGGGCGGGAGGGAAAAGAAGGGGAGGGGGGGAAATATCAGCTCCATAATTATCCGCGCATTCGGCCCTCACCATGTGACGGCTAGACCAATGGGATTTGAAAATGGCCTTGATGATTCAGACGGCCGTGACGTCAGCGGGGTCAAGTTGTCTGCAGGCGGAGCGCGCAGCGTGGAGTAACAGCGCCACCTAGCAGCCGCCTCGAGGTAGGGGCGCCGGAGCCCTTCCCCGCGAACAAAGGAAGGGCCCCCGCGGCGACTGGGGCAGGAGCGGGGTGGAGGAGGGATGAGGGGGTTCTAGGGAGGATGGGGTTTGTTTACCCGGGAAGCAGCCTGTAACTCTTGGGGAGAAGGGAGCGGAGAGGGGGGAAAATGCGGGACAGAGTGAGAGAGCGAGGCAACTCGGGGCTCAAAACAGTCACATTCAAACTAAAAGGTCAAGACACGATTCAGGTACTTCTTCCCCTCCTCACCTCCTCTTTTCCTCGCCTTGGCCCCCGCCCCCACTTCTTCCCCTGGGATGGGAGTGGGGTGAGGTTTGGGGGAGGGATCCTGCGGGCAGAGAAAGGGAGAGGAAAAAGTTAAGGAATCCCAAACGGAACTAAAGTTTCTCCTCTCCTGCGTCCTCTTTCGTCGGTCTCGGCCCTTGGGGCTGGGAGCTCAGCTCGGGACCTCCCGTCACGGAAGTTGGTTGAGTTGCAAGTTCCCCGTGGGGATTGACGGGGAATCTCCAGTGTCTGGGGCAGGCCAGGGAGGAGGTCAAGATGACTTCAGGGCTGCTTGGGAGAGGGGGATTCCGAGGGGACTGAGGGGTCGCGGGAGGAGGAGGCCGGCAACCAGAGGCACCGGCTCCCCGACCAGGGAGCGCGGCCTGGGCCTGGCTGGGTGGGCGGCTCCTGGGTTATCAACTCAGGGGCAGGAAGGCTTTGGCCTTGGAGCCGGTTCGGCTGCTCTGCTCCAGGCCCTGGCGGCCCTCGCTTTCCAGTTGACCTTGCCCCCACGAAAACAGGGAGCATTCCCAGAGAGAAAGAGGGAACCCTCGGGGCCTCGGGCGGTTTGGGGGAGTCACGTATCAACCGGGAAACCAAGGCAACGGACGCGACAAAATGCGACCCTGAGAAGTGTCCTTCAACAGAGCGATTTTTTTAAGAAAGGGAAGCGAGAAATAAGGGACAAGGTATGTTTCAAATAGTTCTTTACGTTTCTTCATCGCCTTTCTCACAAAGCGAACTTAACTCTCCACCCTTTCCTCAGGAAACGGAATCTGGAGTATAACTTGTCTTTCCGGTCGCCCCACATTTTCCCCTGGACCGAGCCATGGGTTTCGACTTTACGAAGGGCTGGAGCCTGGCCGGGAAAAGACCAGAGCTCCAAGACGCCCTGGCGCGGAGGAGTGAGAAGGCTGGATCGCTTCTAGGGAGGCCCAAACCCGCGGCTGCTAGAAGACGACTTCGGAAAGAAATCCTCCGAAATCTGTCATCCAGAGGGCGAGAGAAAAGGCGCAGGGGTCCCCGAACCCCGGGAAAACTGGAAGAGAATGTTTAATGTGTGACTTGCTGGCAGGGCCAGCCAGGGGAGATTTGAAATGCTTTCGTGTTTTCATTTACAGAGGTCGCCATGGGCTCGGCACAAGGGGTTGGCCCCGGCAAGGTTAGCCCGTTTAGGCCCCAGATGAGACTTGGGACGGCCCCGGTGGCAGTCAATCCAGGGAGCCATTTGTCCCACCCCGCGGGAAACGCAGACACTTTATGGCCACTCTGTTTGTATTATCTGCGTAAGTCTTTCCCCACCAGTTTGATCGAAACTGTTCGCTTTTACGAGGACCCAACGAAAATTCCCCGTCATATTTATCAGCCGAGGATAAAAATTTAGTATGGGAACTGATATTTCCTCATTTATGGGGCGATGAAATTAAAGACCAAAGCAATTGAGAATTATATGGCTTTGGGGGGGTTCCCTCCCCCCTCTTTCACATCTCCTTTATTTTCCTGCCTGGTGTCCCTGTCCCTGGAGTTTGGCATCCCAGTCTCCTGCCCTTGCCCCCCATATTGGGGTCTGCTGGGCCCTCTCCCCCAGACCCAGGTGCCGCTCGACCACCTCAGCTTCTCCTGGTCTTTCTCTCTGTGTTAGTAGCTGGGGGCCGGGACAGCATTCCCTGAGCCTCTCTGCCCAGGCCAGGCTGGGATCGGGTGGGGCTGCGGAAGGTTTCCAAGAGCCTCGAAGTGGAAGGGTCTGGGCCCAGCCTGGGAGGGGGTGAGGGAGGCGGCAGAGTGAAGGAGACAAACTCCAGATAACCTCTCAAAAACGTCAAGCCCCACGGCTTAACCTGGGGAACCAGCGGTAGAGAAGCAGAGTCACTCGGCTTTGAGACCTGTCTCCCCTACCAGCCTGACCCCCATCCCAAACTCACTCCTTACCTCAGCCCTGAGTGGGGATGGAGTCGCTTTCAGAATCCTTGCCATTATTAATGGAAACAATCCCCCTGGGAGAAGGAGTCTCGCGCCTCTACTCCCATCTCCTCACAAGAACGAATAGTGTTTAAAGTTGAAATAATTAGAAGTATGATAAACATGGCCCATTAATGAAAAAAGAAATCAAATTCATCAGCCTAAGTGGGACCCCCGGTGGGACAAATGTTTGCCTTTAATTACGCAGGAAAAACGCAAACCCGGAGCTGTTAAACAAGAACCGGAAGACGCCGACTTGAATAACTTGTTGGGTTTTTGCAAACTTGGGATTCTGCACCAGTGGAGACGAAAGGAAGGAAGACGTGAGGGTGAGGACGGAGAGAGGGGAGCATTCGTGAGGATTTGGGGAAGTACAGTCAGGTGTGGGTCCCAGCCCTGCCCCCTTGGGCTCCGTCTTTCCCGAGGCCACGAGCAAAGGCTGTTTCCGTCCTATTGTCCAGGCCTGGTGTTCAAAGGCACTCAGGCTGCCACAGCCACCCCACTTGCCGCCTGCCGCCACTGCTGGGCGCCTACCGGCTAAGCCCCACTGGGCCGAGACCCTCAGGCCTGCACCCCAAGGGAACCGGATTGGGGTCCAGAAGAAGTCTGTGTTGCTAAAATCACCCTGTTAAGCCATTTCCCCAACTTTCCAGGAGTGCTGCATCTATGCCTGACTCCCCGGGGCTCCCTCTTCTTGCCTCAACTTGGGGGATGTGAAAATCCGGGGGCTTCAGGCCAGATCGGCTCAGGCTGCACCTACCTTTTGACCAACCCCTCTACCCCGAGAGCTCTGGTCCCCGTGCCCTTCTTCCCGGTACCTAGACCCTGGAAGTGCAGCAGGGATGAGCAGCTGGGCCTCCTGCCGCCCGTGGGACTGTGACCAAGGGAGAGGTGAAGGGTGCTCCTCACAGACTTCAGGGTGGTCAGCGGGTTCCAGACGGCAGGCTGAGGACTGGGGCGCTAGGGGTCCCCATGTGAAAACAGAAGAAGGAAAATCTAGTGCTCAGTGAACAGAAAGGAACCTCGGCTGCTTTCCAGGCTCTAGCCCTCAAAGCACCCCAGAGGCACCCTGATTTCTCCAAGGAAAATTAGTGGAGCTTCCCCACAAGGCTAAGGACGCCATCTAGGAAATTCCAAAGGTGAGGTGAAAAGAAGGAAGAGTGTCTTTCCCTTTGGGATAAAATAATAAAATAATTATACTGTGTGTGTGTGTGTGTGTGTGTGTGTGTGTGTGTGTGTGTGTGTGTGTGTGTGTGTGTGTGTGTGTGTGTGTGTGTGTAAATCTCAAGTGAAATGGAAAACAAAATCACACCAGTGGTTAAACTTGCAGGGTTTTCCCCTCTTGTTTTGGAGGCCCAAATAAATCATTCTCTTCTCAAAACTTGAAGGAAAGATTTGCTTTCTTTTTCTTCGCTAACACCGGGCTCTGCTTCGGCTGAATTGGGAGCAGAAAAATCCCAGGCAAAAGACAGAATGCACCGAAGCCCCCCAAACGGATTTTCAAACAGGTACAAGAGGAAAGTGGGAGGCTGAGGACGCTTGGAGGGGCCTCTGGTCTACCCGGGATCTCGCTGCCACCCTGGCGGCAGCCTGGCCATCAGAGTCGCTCTCACATCTGGATGTTGTACACGTCTGCACCCAGATGCTCTGGAGGTTACCGCCTAGACCCGTACCTGACTTGGAGCTCGATTGCATGTACACGGCCACAGATATTAACTTTTACCCAAAAATGTACTCCCTAGGATCCCCGCATCCCGAAGAAGTCTGATAGCCAGCACAGCTGCCTTCTTGCCCTGCCGAAGCCAACCAGTTATTTAACTTTGCCTCCTGAATTGAAACCAGACAGTAAACACATCCAGTAGAAGCTTTGGGAGGAGGACGGGTGGGATGATGTCTTTGGCGGGCGGGACGGGGTGGGGGAAGCCTTGCTCCCCATATTATGGTTTGCGCCCAAGTTGCCCAGTGGGTCGTGTTTCCAGCCGGAGTCAGGGCTGCGGTCTGCCGGCTTACTTCGGAGAAAATCCCACTCCTCCTTTACTGGCTAACTTCCTTTTCGAAGATCTTTGTTTTCCATCTTTGTTTCCCCCCTTTCTTTTTCCATCTTCCTCCTTTCTCTTTATTTGTTTCTTTCTCTTTTTCTCTGCAATTCATTTGTTTCCTTCTCTTTTTCTGATTCTTTCTTGTGTTCCTTAGTTCTCTCTTCCTTCTTTCTTTCTTTGTTATACAATTTATTCTTTACTCTTTTCTTTCCTCCTAAATGCTTTCCTTCCCCTTGACTTTCTCCCCTAGCTCTTGTTTTTCTCTGTTGTGCTGGGCGCCCTGAGGGGGAGAGCACGAGGTTCAGTAGCATCCCTTCCCAGCCCCACTGCTCAAGCTTGGAGTTGACCTTCGCCCGCCTTCAGCCTTAACTCCACTCCTCACAAGGAGAAGTGTAGGGCTGTCAGCCGCTGGCGGCCAGGGCTCAGCAGTCACTATCAGAGGGAAGGAAAAGCAGGCGCTGGGGCACATCCTGACCAACTCCGCTGGCTCCCTGAAGTGCCCAGGTCCAGGGCTTAGGTATCCTCAAGTCCATCACCCCGAAGAAGCCTCATCCACCAGGTCTGTCTTTGGAGAAGTTGCTCCATCTTTGTCCTGACTTCCAGAGATGAACATTAAAATAGTCCCTGTTTGAGCCCACTTGATACCCCAAGGCTGGAGCTAGGGGAAATGAAGGAGTGGGGTTCTGTCCGTCCCAGGCGAGGGGCAGATCCACGGGGTCACTCGCAGGCTTAGCAGTCCAAGGCCACGTCCCTATACAGGCACCTTTGTTCTTCGAGCTCCTGGATTGCAGCCCACTGGCCTTCCTTCTCTCTCGGTCCTACAATCACTGCAACCTCTGGGCAGGCATTTCTTGTCGTCTTGAATTCTGTCTTTCATCAAACCCTTTGTGGACTTTGCAGGAGGCAGGGTTGCAGGGCTGTGTGTGCAGAGACTCTTCCCAACTTAACGGTCTAAGTCAAGGTTATGGGTCTCCACTTTGTGCAGTGGGTTGAGGGTGTGTGCAGGGCTGTATGTGTGTGTGTGTGTGTGTGAGAGAGAGAGAGAGAGAGAGAGGGAGAGAGAGGGAGAGAGAGAGATGCCTACAGGAGAACAAGAGGTTGTGATGGGGAAGGTCTAATTGACATTGTCCAAACTTTGCGGTTCTGTAAGTGTGTGTCTCAACGGCAGAGTGGCTGGGACTTTTCTAGCAGCCCCCAAAGCTGGATCCGAGGTGGACCTCAGGAAGGATTAATCCCAACCTTTAAGCCTTGTTTTGCCTTAGTCAGAGATACAGCTCCAGACATCCCCCCTCCCACCAGGACCTCAGAACCTCTCTCTCCCCAACCTCCCAGAGACCCTGAGACTTGGTTCCATGGCAAGACCAAAACTTTAAGTTTTTGAAAAAGAGAGGAGGAATCTTGTAAAACTTTTATGCCAAACAAAGTTATAAAAACTTCCCGGGCGTTGCCTTTTCCAAAGGTTTATATGAATAATAAAGAGTGCAGTCGCGTGCACACAGTTCTGGCGGGCTCTGAGCTGGGAGGGTTCAACAAACAGCATTATCCAGCCCTGGGGCAACAGGAAACCCCAGGGGCTGGCCCCTTGAGGGAATATTGGCCCAGAAACGAATTGCCCTACAGATTCCGGAGAGGGGCGGGGAGAGGGAAGGGGTGGCGCCCTTGACTCCCTTGAAGTTCAAAGTTCTTTGTCCTGGTGAGAAAAACCCTCTCTGCCTTCAATCCACTCGAGAAATTATTCCCCAGGTAGTTTCTCCTCCTCCGATTGAGAAACGGCTCCAGGTATCCCCAACTCCATTCACCTTTCAGACACCTAGTCTGTAACTTTCTTCCTTGCCTAAAGCGGAGCTCCCCTTCTTCCCCATCTGGGACACCTAGAACCTGCGGGCTTTCTCTCAGAGGCACTTCGCTGGGATCTGTGAACCGTCTTCCAAGGCGCCCTCGCATCACCATCCCCCAGCAACCTGGGGGTCTGCGTGACAAAGAAACATCAAACCCATTTCTCCTTTCAAGTCCCCTAGGTTCCCCCTGCACCCCCAAAGCCCATAGTGGGAGGGGGAGGAGCCCAGAGTGCTCTCTCAGCCCACACCACTTAATACCCTTGTAAACTCCCACGTGCGCTATAAACTTGGATTTTTACAACCAACATTCCTCCTTAGCTCCGGGAAACTTTGAACTCGGCCTCGGGTTTATTTACTGGTGGGGGGTGGGATTGGGGGACTGGGAGCTGAGAAAGGCTGGAGGAGAAGAGGCGGGGAAGGAGGTTGCGGGCAAGGGGGTAATGGAGTGGGGGTATGGGGTGTGTTGGGGGAGCCAAGACTGTCCACTGCGGATTTGTTTACTAGTTAGGGCGGAAGCGTTTTCTAACACAGGCCAGATTGGGTCGTTAAGGGCGAAATGAAACTGGGTTTAGAGGCGCGGGGTGGGGTGGGGGCACTTTATGGCGGCGTCTAGACGAGGCTCTTTTGTTCCCGGGCAGCGCCACGGCTGGAGGGGATTACCCAAAGAGGTTGAGCCCGGAGTGCCCCTGACTGCCAAGGGGGGTCGGACATCCCGGGGGCCCGAAGGTGGGTTTGTTGGGGGGACAGAAACCTCTTTTTTCTAATTTTTAGAAGGTCACCGAAGACTGGCAGCTTCCTGGGCTGGGATCATAGAAAGCTTTTGTTTTTCTTTCACCATGACACCCCGCCTTCCTTCAGAAATCCCTTCTAGAGCTGGGGATCTTTTCTGGGCTGCACATTGCAGGGAAAGTGGTAGCTTTGGATTTTCAATATTCTTCTCCAAAATCAAGAGCCATTTAGAGATCAGTATTTTGCTTTATAAGCAGGTTCTATATAGTTATCTCCATCCTATTTTATTGGAAGCACGGCTGGCAGGCCCATAGCCCTTGTTATGACTCGTGGATAAACATCATACCTAGAGATATCTCTCAAGCACAAGTGCACGCGCATGCAAACGTGCATGCACACACACACACACAGAGACGATCCTCAGCTGCATTCCTTCTGCCACTCACTACACACTGACAGTGGTTACACACCTCAGAGGACACAAGCCCTAGATGTGCATGTGGTCAGTTTTACTGCATACTATAAGCAAAAGAGTGTACATAATATTCCTTTTCGTGTGCACCCATAGGCATCCGACAGATATTTGTGTGTGGGCACATGAGGCAATTGTGGGGTTGTATATACACCCCAGTTTGCAAATTTTGTCTCAAGACCTACATTTACAAATGAGAGATTCAGATACCCCGTCATCAAAAACGACGGAACCTAGATGCAGTAGTCCATAGTCGTGGTGCTTTTTTCTTTCACTCAACAGAATTATATTGACGAAAACATTTTCTTCGAATTACAGAAGAACCGTTCCAAAGAAAAGGGAACGATGAGAGAATTGGTCCTAAACCTCTGCCCCCAAATAACGAATTTGGAACAGAGATCACCAGAGTGCCCTCAACGAATGCGCTGAAAGGACTATAGTTATCTTTATCCGGAAGAAACATGCAGCAAATATATATATGGGTGTGGTGACCATCCTCACGGGTCACCTCCTTCCCCAGCGCCCCACCCCAAGCCAACCTCTTACAAAACAGATCTCTGGGGCTTTCCACGCTGGGAGACCAATGTACAAACATCAGGGTGGCCCCAGCCTAGGGTCTTGTTGTGTCTGGAGGAGCCCAGCCATTTGTGCTTGAGGGGAAGGGGCCCAGCCCTACCCTCCCACCCTCAGGGGCTGGCGCGGTGCGGAAAGGGAGGGGGCTGGTTTCTCCCCCTCTCCCTTCCCTCCTTCAAAACTGTATATAAAAATTCCAATACAGTCTTCTCATAGAGGGAAAAAGAAGAAAAGAAAAAACGAAAGCCCTACCCTCAACCCTACACATTTAACTGCCACAGACGGAGACATCTGGTGGGAGGGCGGTGGAGCCAAGAAAATTCCTGTAAATTTAAATTCGATGATGGTTACAATTAACTCCACAACAAACGTGTGCTTAAACGGAAAGCGTTGCTGGGCGTTTGGACGCAGCTCGAGCTGCACGTGAGAAATGAGAGCTTTAAGAGTCGCAGTGGAAAGTCCTCAACTTGAGAGCGGGAGGAAGCTACCGCCGCACTCTTGCCCCTGCCCGTGGAGAGAGGGGTGCAGGCCCGCCAGCCCCGGCCTACCTCACCTTCACACGCCTGTCCTCCTCTGCTGGGCTCTGCCCGCC